TTCCTTCAAACTCCTGCTCTGTCAGGCACTGTCCTGAGCTCCAAGGATATAGCAGTGATGGAAACAAGGCTGCCCTCACAGAACTTACCTTCTAGCAAAATCCTGACTGCTACTTAAGTGTTGGTTAAATATGGGCAGATACGGTTATTGGTGGGATGATGATTGTCCCAGTTTTCTTGGAACAGCCCCAATATAACACCTGTTCACTTTCAAAAGGTCCCAGTTTGGACAGAAAATTATATGACCCACCTTAGTTCTAAACCTTTTTTATATGTTAATTCATTTAATCCTCATAATAATCCCATGAGGTATATAAGATTATTAGCATCATTATACAGGTATGGAAACGGAAGCATAGGAAAGTGGAGTAGTTTGCCCTTGGTCATACAGTAAGTGGCAGAACCAGAATTCAAACTCAGCAGCCTGGTTTCAGAGTCTATGCGCTGAGTTTCTATGCTACACTGCCTCTAGACGGCTATTGGAAGTCTTTCTTTTACTCTGCACGTCTCCCTTCCTCTTGTTGCCAAGTAAAGCAAGTGATCTCATTTCCTTCACAGATGAATCTGTGGCTCTCTCGAGTAAACTTCCTCAACTTGCCACTCCCTCCTTTACAACTCTGTCTTCATTTCTGTGTAGCCTCACTCCATCCCTCCATTTCAAGGAAGCGGACATCTTTCTCTCTAAAACTTTACTCTAGCCCCATCCTGTCCCACCTCCTGGATGACTGTTTTCTAAATTATTCTTCTGTTTTTCTTGGGCTTTCTGTCTCCATCTTTTCCCGCTCAGCATGTGAGCATGATCTGTTGTTGAAGGTATCACTCTTTCAAAAAGCTTTACTGTTGGGAGGGGTTTATCAGGTTTATTAATAACATAATCATGATAAATGGCTGTCAATTATTCATTACTCTGTTAAATTTCAGGTACTGCTTCTTTTACCAACCCTGCAGATACTTTACAGATGAAGAAATGGAAGCTCAGAAGACGACATAACTTACTAAGCTTATGAATAGTGGCACTAAATTCAGACTCATATTTACCTTCATTCTATTTTTGGTATATCATGCTAGTTTATCATAATTCTTAAAGACTTCCCTGGATCATGTGCCTGTCCCCCATTACCCTATACCTCTCCTTTTTGTGGGAAAGCTTTTTCAGAGAGCATATTTAATACTCATAGACTCTTCCTGCCTTTCATTTGCTTCTCAACCCATCCATATCTGTCTTCCACCTCTGTATTAATCAGGACCTTCCAGAGACAGAGCCACCATCTGTTTCTCTCTCATTTGTATTTAGATTATCTATCTCTACATATGTTTAGAAAGGGGGTGTTGATTTTAAGAATTAGTTCATACATTTGTGGGGCTGGCAAGTCTGAAATCTGTAGGGTAGGCCAGCGGGCTAGAAACACAGGTAGAATTTCAGTGTTATAGACTTCAGGCAGAATTTCTTCTCCTGGGAAACCTATTTTTACCCGTAAGGCCTTCTACTGATTGGATGAGTCTTCTTCCACCATATTATCAGAGTAATCTCCTTTACCGAAAGTCCATTGATTGGCCGGGACTGGTTTGGCTCAGTGGATAGAGCGTCGGCCTGTGGATTGAAAGGTCCCGGGTTCAATTCCGGGCAGGGGCATGTACCTTGGTTTCGGGCACATCCCCAGTGGAGGATGTGCAAGAAGCTGATTGATGATTCTCTCTCATCGATGTGTCTAACTCTCTATCCCTCTCTCTTCCTCTCTGTGAAAAATCAATAAAATACAAAAAAAAAATAATAAAAATAAAATAAAGTCCATTGATTGTAAATGTTAATCACACATACAAAATACCTGCACAGCAATATCTAGACTTGTGTTTGACCCAACAATTGGGCAAACATAGCCTAGCCAATTTGACAGATCAAATTGGCTAGGCTATGTTTGCCCAATTGTTGGGTCAAACACAAGTCTAGATATTAATCACACAACTTCTATCACTATACTGTGTCTTCATTGCTAAATCAAATGGACACTTTTCAAATCTTTTCTTATTTGATGATCATTGTGCAACATTTGACATCTTTGACCACCCCATTACTTCTTGAAACCCTTCTCCCTTAGTTTCAATCACCCATTTTCCTGTCCTTCTGGTTATTTCTTTTCTCTATTTCAAGGACTTAACTTTTCCCACTTCTTTAATTATTGATAGTCTCTTCTAGCCTTGTCCTTCTATTATTCCCATGATTGATGTCTCTCAAATCAAAAATTCCATCTAGAGTTCTCTATTGAGCTTCAGACCTATTTTTCAATTACTTGTTGGACATCTTAACCTTGATGTTGCACAGACATCTCAAATTTTGCTTATCTAAAATTGAAGTCCTATTCTTTCCCTTCTTAAACTTGTTTTTGCATCTCTTTTATTCTCTCTTTTTAAAACATGTTTTTACTGATATCAGAGAGAGGAAGGGGGAAGATAGAAACATGAATGATGAGAATCATCAGTTGGCTGCTTCCTGCATGCCCCCTACTGGGGATCGAGCCTGCAACTTGGGCAAGTACCCCAAGCTGGATCAAACCCTGACCTGGTTCATGGGTAGACATTCAACCATTGAGCAACACCAGCCAGGCTCCTCTATTCTCTATCTTAAATTAACCTCCCTACCCAGTTACCCAAGCCAGGAACCTGATAGGAATCCTCAACTTCTCCCTTATAATTACCATGTAAAATTTGTTCATCTCCATCCCAGTCTTAATCAAGAAGCTCCACCCTCATTTTCTCTGACCTGAAATCTTGTGGTCTTTTTGCCTCCTATCTGTTTCTTTCCAGTCCCTCTACTCTGCTGCCAGAATGATGGTTTTTTTTTTTTGTTTTTTAATATATTTTATTGATATTTTGCAGAGAGGAAGGGAGAGAGATAGAGAGCCAGAAATGTCAATGAGAGAGAAACATCGACCAGCTGCCTCTTGCACACCCCCTACCGGGGATGTGCCCGCAACCAATGCACATGCCCTTGGCTGGAATCGAACCCAGGACCTTTCAGTCCGCAGACCGACGCTCTGCCACTGAGCCAAACCAGTTTCGGCCAGAATGATGTTTTAAAAATGAAAATCTGTTTAGTTGTGTTTAAATTCCTCCAGTAGCTTCTAATTGCCCCCAGAACTAAGATGAAATTCTTTTGAAGGCCCACAAGGCCCTCTGTGCCTAGGCCTTTCATATTCTTTCTCTCCCACCATGCCTTGCTCACTCAAAAAAACAAAACAAAAAAAAAACATCATACTTTCAAGCCAATATTTAGAGAGCTCAGATTTGCCATGTCCTATTTTGCTATTTTTTTTTTCTGCCTGTTATGTCCACTACTTCTATCAGTTCCCTCCCTCCTTACTCCCATCTAGGACATGTAAAAAAATTATTTCAGTACCCAATTCTGTCTTCTCCTTTGAACAACCTTCTTAGATTCCACAGATTTGACCATGCCTGCTCTCTGATATCATTATACACTAGAGGTCTGGTGCACAACATTTGTGCATGGGGGAGAGGTGGGGTGTGCGTCCCTCAGCCCAGCCTGTGCCCTCTCACAGTACGGCACCTCTAGGGGATGTCCGCTGAGGGGTATGTAGTGCTGCTGCCGAGACAGGAGAGGCTCCCACCACTGCTGCTGCACTTGCCAACCATGAGCTTGGCTTCTGTGGGAGCATATTGACCACTAGGGGGCAGCTCCTGCATTGAGCATCTCCCCCTGGTGGTCAGTTTGTGTTATAGCAATTGGTCATTCTGCCGTTTGGTCGATTTGCATATTAGTGTTTTATTATATAGGATTGCTTTCCGTTCTATAGCACTCATCACTGTATTATTTATCTTTTGTTTATCTGAGTATCACTTTCTCTGGGCTGTAAATTCAAGTACAGTATTTCCACTGTCTGGCATATAATAGGCTCTCATCAGATGTGTGGTGGTGATGGAGATGGTGATTCCGGGGGGATCGCACAGCTCATTGAAATAAGGCCATGTCTGCCCTACTGAGGAGTGTTGGGTTTGGACACACACAGAGGAGAATGGTAGACATTTCTTTATCTTTCCTTGTCCCTTCTAGAAGCTGCTGCTCCAACTTTTAGTAGCTGATCCCTTTTGATGTATTCTTCTTATGATGTTTTGATATCCTCACCTTTCATTTTTCTTTTGTTTTATTTTGCTCGTATCCTTGGAGCAGTTAGAAAGAAAGAAAGCTGTAAAATTGCTATTACAAACTCCCACTCTCCTATTTTCATTCCATCACAGAAGAAATTAGATATCAGCTTTTTCCCCGTGTGATTCTTATGTGCAAAAGAAGTCTTTTCTTAGCAGTAAGAAGAGTTCATGTCATAGTAACAATATTTTCAATAGCTTTTTAATGCTGCTATGTCTCCAAAATGTCTCCATGCATTTAATGTCAAATTAAAAACTAAACTAGTTCTAAATCCTGGGAGAAAAAATAATGGTTTTAAAGACTGTTAAAGGAAGAATGAAAAATTCTTGGGTTTTTAACATGAAAATTTCAGATGATTAAGGTCCTGCTATATACATTGGGGTCACATGGTAGTAAAATGGTCTGCATTTCAATTTAGACTCACATATTACTTCTTACTCTAAATACACGAATAGAAGCTACTTGTGGTGTAACTCCTTATGTATGTAAATTTATCTGACTCGTGATTTTCTTGGTTTATTTTTTAAATGGGTGAAGAATCTACTTATGAATTCTTTGCCCTTTACGGAATGTGGTATCTTGGTTTTAATATATCCCCTCCCCTTTACTTACTTTTATTGTATTGTTGTGCATTGCGTTTCTAAAATAATGGCTTTGGCTTGCCTTTTCCTGAATGTTTCTGCAGTTTGGTTTGAATATATGGCTTTGGGCACCTCTCCTGGACTCCATTTGTACATGTGAATTTTGGAAGGCAGAAGTCAGTATTTTCTATCGAAGATGACTTTTAAAAACATATGTTATATGTGTGTCTCTCCTTCTTTCTTTTTGGTTTCTCTTAAAAGACTGGAAAGAAAGCTGTTAAGGCAGTCCTGTGGGTATCAGCTGATGGACTCAGAGTTGTGGATGAAAAAACTAAGGTAAAACTTTACAAACTTAAATGTAACTGCTCATATGTCTTTTTAATTCCTAATGATCAATTATAGTGCCATTAAGCAGTTGTAGTCACTTTGTACCCTTCACTTTGTCCAAAGTACAATCTTTTCTTAGCCAATTAGTTACTCATTCACCTTATAAAAAATAGAATTCTCTCCGCATTTTGCCCTACATGACGCACACGTTTAGCCTACCAAGCATTTTCACTTAATGTTAAGATCTGAGTTCTATTTCTGTTGTAACCCCACAAATTTGATGTAAAAGATGATGGACCTTTTACCACAGTTTTAAAAAATATTTTTAAAGATGATGGACCACATTAGAAATTTCTTCTTGTTCCTTAATAGAACTCTGTTTTTAGAAAGTGATATTTGAATTGATTGCTGTTTTAACTGAAAACCCAACTTAAGTGAAATCTTAAGGACTAGTAAATGGCTCATTAGATTAACATTTACTTAGGATCCATACAATATCTCAAATCACAGGTAGCATTTTGCACTTGAAAGAATATGATCCTACTTGCCTATAAGAATAGAGACATAGGCCCCAGCAGGTTAGACTCAGTGCATAGAGGATTGGCCTGTAGACTGAAGGGTCCTGGTGTCGATTCTGGTCCTGGTGTCGATACCTTGGTTGCAAGTTCCCCGGCACTGGTTAGTGTGCGTGCAGGAGGCAACCAATTGATGTCTCTCTCTGTCTCTCCTCCATTCTACTCTCTCTGAAATTCAGTGGGGGAAATATCCTCGGGTGAGGATTAATAAGAATAGAGACATAGACTCTTCCCTTAGCATCTAGTGTTATACAAGTATATTAATACTTAATTTATATTTCCTAAAAGACCTAAAGTCTGGCGAAATTTTAGCAATAAGGCAGTTGGGAGAAAGTCTGACCAGTAAAGAGCAGTTTGATGGTTAACTTGCCCGATACATTTTAAGTGATTTACATAATATAACTGCATTTTAGTTATTTTGACTTTCCATCAAAGGCTTTTTCTTTTTTTAAAGTTCAAGAGAAATGATAGTGTTAAATGTACATGAATCTTGGAAACAACGATCATTTTATTTAGATTATTTTTAAGAACTTATAAGTGTTTTGTACATGGAAGCTATGTTTTTAATTGCTTTGTACAATAATGAGAAAGTGATGTTTCCCCCTGGTGGTTGCTTATAGCACTGACACTAATTAGTTCTTTCCACACAGAGTAATAATAATAATCAGTGGATTGTCACTCTTGGACCCATTATGGGTAGAAAAGAAATTTTCAATATGTATAATCTATAAAGGGATCACACTTAGAATATATAAGTAATCCTACATATCCATAAGAAAATTACAGACAACCCAAAAAGCAATTCCTTTGCTAGAGAGAAAGTTCATAGTAATCAAGGTTATGCAAAATAAAATCATTATAGCTGCCAAAATAAAAACAAATTATTTATTTTAAAATCTTCCGAAAAAATTAAATTTGTTTTGAGAGAGAGAAAGAAACATCAATTTGTTTTTCCACTTATTTATGTATTCATTGTTTGAGTGTTGTGTGTGCCCTGACCTGAGTTCAAATTTACAACCTTAATGTGTTGGGATGATGCTCTAATCAACTAAGCTACCCGCCCGGGGCTACAGTTGCAAATTTTTTAAAAATCGACTTGCAAGTTTATGGAGCAACAGGAATTCTCATCAATACTATATAAAAGCCGTTTGATTTAATTGTATGTTTTAGTACTTACAGCGTCATCTCAGCACCTAGGGATTCTAGACCACGAGAATATCACACAGAAGAGCCTCAGAACCTCCAGATTTTTAAAAACATTTTGTGTAATATTCATACTGTGCATATACTGTGTCATTCAGCAAGTATATAAACAGAAAGTCCTCATATTAAATACATAGAACTTTTGGGAATTAGGTTATTAAATAAGTTATATGGAAATTGGATTAAATATATTGATTTATATATATTGCATATTGAACATGGACTCTACCATAATAAAATTATAATTAATAAGCATATGTTTTAGAACATGAAGATTAGGTGAGAGAGGCCTCTGGGCAAAGGACCACATGGGATCTCTCTCTGGTCAAATTCTTAGTATTCAGACTGCTGGCCTCAGATCCAGCTATTGCATAGGTCCAATGCATTAGGGGTGAGGATTCTCTGTTGTAAAACGAACATTCTGTGTTCCTTCTGAGAAGGCCGAATAACCATAATTCTCTGCTCCTTTGTGTTTCCCTTTTTCAAGGACCTCATAGTTGATCAAACAATAGAAAAAGTTTCTTTCTGTGCCCCAGATAGAAACTTTGATAGAGCCTTCTCTTACATATGTCGTGATGGCACCACTCGGCGCTGGATCTGTCATTGCTTCATGGCTGTCAAGGACACGGTGAGTTCAACCTGGATTTCATCATGACTAGCCTCAGTCAGCAAAGCTCCTTCCGGGTTGGCTCAGTCAAGCACTAGTCTGTTTTCATTCCTTTTATTCAAGTAATCCACACTCTTGGTGTGACCCTGCATGGAGCAAGATGACTGACTAGCTGAGATTCATGGTCATGAAAGGAAAGTAGATGTATTGTGGGGAGGATGGCTGCTAAACTTTATTTGAAACTTTCATTATTAGAACCATTTTCAAGATCTTATATGTATTTATTTGCTAAGACATCTGGGTAGATTATATTGGCATTTGAAAGTTGCTTATAAATTTATTTGCAAAGAAACTCCACTACAAATGAAAGAACTGAGTTGGAATGTATTTCCAATTAATTAAAAAAGTAGAAATACTAGCTGAAACCGGTTTGGCTCAGTGGATAGAGCATCGGCCTGTGGACAGAAGGGTCCCAGGTTCGATTCCGGTCAAGGGCATGTACCTTGGTTGCAGGCACATCCCCAGTAGAAGGTGTGCAGGAGGCAGCTGATCAATGTTTCTAACTCTCTATCCCTCTCTCTTCCTCTCTGTTAAAAAAAAAAATCAATAAAATATATTTTTTAAAAAAAGTAGAAATACTAAATTATGGTTTAATGAATGTTCTAGAAATTGTTACATTGTATAATTTTTTATTTTGTTTAAGAATAGAGAATAACCTAGTGTATCATCCTTCATGTAAATTACCTAAAATTCTAATATGAAAGATATCTCTTACATGCTGATGATGATTTTAACTCTAGTTATGGTACAACATTGAGCATATAATTTCTGAGTTTTTAAAAGTTCAGACAGAATGAGGCAGTATAGCCATTCACAAAGGTTATAACTTAATACATCCTTGGCAAGATTTAACCTTAGAGTGGTGACCTTGCTTTAAAATTGAGCAAAATATATTTTTTTTTTTAGTTCTTGGAGATAGTGATATAAACACATATTAAGAGCTTAGGCTCTGACTCTCATATGAGTTCCAGACCTGATTCTGGTTCTCACTGGCTGTGGGTTTTGTAGCAAGTTACTTAACATTCTCTAAGTCTTAGTATCCACTGCTATAAAATGGAGATAACAGTTGCAAAAACTTAGATTAATGAATTTAAGCACTCAGCATAGGATCTGGCCCATGGTATCAGCTCTCAAAATAGTGACTGTTATTCCTAGCCAGTGGATAGAGTGTCAGTCTGTGGACTGGAGGGTCCCGGGTTCCATTCTGGCCACATGCCCGTGTTGTGGGCTCAATCTGGGTGGGGAGCCTGCAAGAGGCAGCCAATGATTCTTATCATTTATGTTTCTCTCTCTCCCTCACCCTTCCTCTCTGAAATCAATAAAAATATTTTTTTTTAAATAATGACTATTATTATTATTAAACTATTTCTGCCAACTGGGTTTAGGATGGGGCTTGAGGAGGGATCTGTCTTCAAGAACTTCTGCTGGAATCTAAAGAGAAAGAATAAGCTTCCTTGGCCTGTACCTCTGGCCTTATAATAGAGCTGTGTGCAAATGCAAACAGGTTCTAACATATTTCATGCTTTCACGCCTAACCTTATATCATCCTATTAAGAAGTTAGAAACTCGTGTGGTTTCATGAAAAATAAGTCTGTCAGTTTTTAAGCAGTCTTGTGAAATTTTACATTTTATAGTCACATGAGATCTTAACAGCTTATCATCATGTGAAATCTTACAAACAAAAAGCAGTTTTTTGGTTTTTATTGGAAAGAGTAGGAGGGGAGAGGAAGAGACAGAGGAACATCAGTGTGAGAGAGACATATCAATTGTATGTGCTCTGACCAGGGCCTGGGATCAAGCCTGCAACTTAGGCATGTGCTCTTGACCAGAATCAAACCCAGGACCCTCAGTCCTCAGGCTGACACTCCATCCACTGAGCCAAACTGCTCTAACTTATGCACGTGTGTGGATGTGAGGTAGAGTTGGGGCTAAGAGAGAGCTAGAAGAATATAGGAAGGTATAGGAGAAACCTGAAAGCCATGTGGATCTAGAATGGGAAAGAGTGCGTGGGGATAATGGAAAGGGGGAGTAAGAAAGCTAAGCTTTCCTTTGCCTGATTCCCTTCTCATCCCTGGAGTTGCATTATTTACTCCAAGTTTTAAGTTTGCACCTTTTATTCCTAGACATGTTTACAGTATATTTAAGCTCCTGCACCTTGCCCTGCCTTTCCAGTAGTTCTTAGAAATGCTTGGTAAATATTCTCACTAGCCCCCTAAATAGCAAATAGAGTTTTGCATTTCAAGACTGAGAGCTTGAAACCTTGTCTCCTAACCTGATGGCACAGCTGCTGTGAGTGACAGCGCAAGTCTGACTGATAATAAGAAGGTCTCAGTGATTGCTCACAAAAGCACAGGTTGCTGATGGTCACTTTACCCAATGCCTATCACAGTAAAGTATCATAGGTATTCTCTAAGGTAACTTATTCGTTTAATTTGGCATATTAGTATATTAAAATCTAGGTTAAGCTCCCAACACTTTGCCTTGTGTAAAAACAGACTTATTTGTGGTCTAAGCTCACTTGTAAATGCGGGTACAATAACTCTAAAAACGTCCTGTGAACCTTCCGTTGTGTACAGGGTGAAAGGCTGAGCCACGCTGTAGGCTGTGCTTTTGCGGCCTGTTTAGAACGAAAGCAGAAGAGGGAGAAGGAATGTGGAGTGACTGCTACTTTTGATGCCAGCCGGACCACTTTTACAAGAGAAGGATCATTCCGCGTCACTACAGCCACTGAGCTAGCAGAAAGAGAGGAGATTATGAAGCAAATCCAAGATGCCAAGAAAGGTACAGTTTGTCCTACTACAATGTGTGTTTATTAAACAGTTTTCCCCAGAGGGTGAATATTTTGAAGCTATCAGGGCTAAGCTTTCTCACAAAGAGAATTCTTAGCAATGTGTAACGATCTTAAGAACAAAGCTGGCCCTGGCCAGTGTTGCTCAGTGGTTGGAATTTTGGCCCACACACCAAGGGTTATAGGTTCAGTTCCTGGTCAAGGGCATCTACCTGATTCAGTCTCTGGCCCTAGTCTGGGTTCTTGCAGGAGGCAAGCAGTCGATGTGTCTCTCTCACATCAGTGTTTCTATTTCTCTTTTCCTCCTTCCCTCTTTCTTCCCTCCCACCCTCTTCCTCCATCCCTTCCACAAATCTGTAAAAAAAAAAAAAAAAAAAAAAAAAAATCAATGGGAAAAATGTCCTGGGTTGAAGATTAATAACAACCAAAAGCTGAAAATCTAAACAAAGATTTCCTTTAGAGTGGTTTGTTTAGTGGCTTTGAAACTGTTTACCCTTTTTATTATGTTAAGCTACCTGGGGAAGCTAAGAGTGCAGTTGATTAAGCTGCAAAGACATTACCTTCCCTGTGTTTAAAAACAAAATTGAGCCGAAACCAGTTTAGAGCGTCGGTCTTCGGACTGAAAGGTCCCAGGTTCAATTCCAGTCAGGGGCATGTGCCTTGGTTGCGGGCATATCCCTGGTGGGGGATGTGCAGGAGGCAGCTGATCGATGGTTCTCTCTCATTGATGTTTCTAACTTTATCTCCTTCTCTCTTCTTCTCTATAAAAAATCAATACAATATATATATATATTTTTAATTTTTGAGAAAATCTGTTCCTGGAACAGATTTTTAATTCGAATGCATCTGATCTCTGTGAGAAGCAAATGCTGTCAAGAACCTACATCTTGCCTAGCCAGTTAGGCTCAGTGGACAGAGTCATCCCTCAGACTGAAGAGCCCCAGGTTTGATTCTTGTTTGTGGGCTCCATCCCGGCCCTGGTTGGGGTTCCAGGCAGGAGGCAACCAATCCATGTGTGTCTCTCCCATCCATGTTTCTCTCTCTCTCTCTGAGTCTTACCCCCTCCCTTCTACTCTCTCTATTAAAAAAAAAAAATTTTAAAAACCTTTGGGTGAGAACAACAACAAAGAACCTACATCTGCTGCTGGGTGCTACTGTTCTCGCGATATCATTACTGCTTTTTAGTGCTTTTGTGAAAAAAGCTCCTAGATTTTGAGAAGCTAGCCCCTAGCTCTTTCTCCTTTAGCCCTGTTAATTTTAGTGTGTGATTTCTACAGAATGTTTTTCAGATACACATAGTAGCGTAGCAGAAATGCCAGTACAAGCATTCAAGCTACTCAAGAGTCTGTTGCCTACAGTTGGGCTGGGTGTATAAGTGAGATGGCTTGGTGAAATGCTTTGCATTCTTGTGTATAACAGGTTGAAACAAATGAAGCATATTTTGGAATTAAACAATTCAGCTTAAATATACATTAACATAATTTTGCTAATTTTTACCATATTCTTTCAGTTCTAAACCAGTCATTTTGGGTAACTTCATTAATCCAATACTGACCCAAACAGCTCTAATTTTTAAGACCAAAAAAAGATACACATTTTTATTTGAAACTAAATTATTCATTGTGATTTGTTCATTTCTCATAAGCATTTGTGCCAGGATCCTAAAGAATAAGAAACACCATGTTATTTTTATTCGGAAATTCAATATGGCCAGTTGTTATTTAGTGTGCTCGGTGACATTCTAACTGGAAGTGTGTTCTGTGGTACCACCACATATACTCTGTGCTCCACACAGAAACTGCCAACATGATAGCATCCCAACAGAGGGTTGTGAGAGGAGGAAGTGCTGAAGATTTTCCACATGCAGATTGGGTCTCAGCTGGTACTCACATGGAAACAATCTCATATCTAGTTTATTCCAATTTAAAATTTTACTTATGTGTGCTTTTATTCAAATGAGTCACAAGGCATATTGTCCATGATTGAAAGACTACTTTATGCCATTCTGTAATATCTAATCAATCTTATGCTTATTTAGACTTTTCTAACTGCCACTCCCAAAGTCTTCTCCCCCAAACAAGTAAGCAAATAAACATTGGAAACCATAAACCAGCCCAGTCAGCTTGGCTCTGTGGTTGAATGTTGACTTAGGAACTAGGAGGTCACAGTTCAATTCCTGGTCATGGCACATGCCTGAATTGCAGGCTGGATCCCCAGTGTGGGGTGTGCAGGAGGCAGCCGATCAATGATTCTCATTACTGATATTTCTATTTCTCCCTCTCTGAAATCAATAAATATATTTTTAAAAGAAAACCATAAATCATCATTTTTTAAGGACTCCACATTAGAAGTTCATCTGTACTACTTTTTTAAGCTTGCTCAAAGTCTTAAATTATGGATCATTGCATGAAAATTAGAGATCTAGCCGAAACCGGTTTGGCTCAGTGTATCCACTGAAGGGTCCCGGGTTCGATTCCGGGCAAGGGCATGTACCTTGGTTGCGGGCACATCCCCATTGGGGGGCATGCAAGAGGCAGCTGATCAATGATTCTCTCTCATCAATGTTTCTGACTCTCTGTCTCTCTCCCTTCCTCTCTGTGAAAAATCAATAAAATATATATTTTTTAAAAATTAGAGATCTAATATGTGTGTCTCAGTAGCTATATCATGGGGCATGTAGTAGGTTAAACCTTTTATTTGTTTGAAAAATAGATCTTATGAAGGACTTGTATATAAGTACAACCAATGGACTTAAAACTCTGGGGGGGGAGGGGATGTGTGGGAGGGAGGGAGGGGGGCAAAAAAAATCAATAAAATATGTAAAAATAAATAAATAAATTTAAAAAAAGAAAAAAGAAAAAAAGATCTGAGCCCTGCTTTTAACCTGTCTTTTAAGAGGCATTGGGAAGGAGATGGGTAAAGGACCTACGAGGGTTTTTGAGTTCCTCAGCTGTGTAAGCTCAACTTATTTGAAAACATTGCTAAGTTCCTCTTTCTCTTGTTTGACCTTTAGCTGAAACAGACAAGACAGTTGTTGGTTCATCAGTGGCCCCTGGCAACACTGCCCCGTCCCCGTCTTCTCCCACCTCTCCCACTTCGGATGCCACTGCCTCTCTGGAGATGAACAATCCTCATGCCATCCCACGCCGCCATGCTCCAATTGAACAACTTGCTCGCCAAGGCTCTTTCCGAGGATTTCCTGCTCTTAGCCAGAAGATGTCACCCTTTAAACGCCAGCTTTCCCTGCGCATCAACGACTTGCCTTCCACTATGCAGAGGAAGACTGATTTCCCCATAAAAAATGCAGGTAATACAGCATCCACCTGACTGCCTGGTGCTCTAGCGCTGATCATTATCGTCACTTCCAGTTGAAACACTCATCCCACCAAACTAGTCCTACCCTGACTGCCCCCAGGCTGGTTTATGGTTATAAATATCTTGTACCATTTCCCATCGGGAAAAAAATTGAGGTTCCTGGAGGGACATGTGAATCATTCATTTCTCTTCCACAGACAAGTAATAGAGCCATAATGGGAATTCCTAGCCTGAGCTATAAGATTTGTGGTTTGTCCTGGTGGAAGTGTACTTAACTCTCAGCCAACCTGCTTTCAAACATCAAGAGTCTCAAGTTTCCATTCTTATCCTGCCATTTGGGACCCAGCAGGAAATTAATTATAAAGATAAATAGCATTACTGTCAGACGCACCAGAAGGAATGGATAAGTGTTCATTGTTCTTGTGGCTGGTTGGCTCCATAGGGAGGAAATTCTAAACAGGCTTCCTGTATGAATCTAAGATCTGTTGTTCACCAGAGACAGTGGGCTTGCTCACACATATTCATTACCTTTCAGAACTGCCACACAGTCCTTTGTGTGGCCTCTGTACAGCTGAGCCAGCCCCGGTAGTTCTATCCTCATCATAAGACCCGGAGCTAAAGTGTCAGATCTGGTCAGTGCTTTTATTGGACTCTCTTTCACTTCACTCTGAGATACACCCAGCCAGTGCTTCCTCAGGGCGTGAGGAGGCTCCGTCTCAATAGGGCACTCTCCCTGGTGGTAGTATAAAAGCACAGAGAGTTAAGTTCTTTTGACACATGAAACCAGGCCTAAAGAACGGTTCACTAGATGATTACTGAGGGTTGGTCCAGCTCTCAACTCCTATAAAAACGGAAACTCCAGATGCTTCAAGTACTGTTTTCAGTTTCCTTCTGGAGCAGAGAGGAAACAAGAACTAGCATTCTCTTTTCACAGTTGAGCAAATAAAGGCACAGCACACATTTATCTTCCTCAGTGACACACAAGTCTCCCAGAGTCAATATTAAGAACAAAGCCTCAAGAGTCCTAGACCTCAGTTCACTTTTCCATGTTTTCACAGTTATTGTACTTTGTGCTTTGGAGGAAAATGAGAGTAATGACATTGGCAGGGATTATCATGGAGAAAAGGACTGAGCATCCACTGGTGCCCTTGGCTTTAATCCATTTTCTGATAGTTACTAAATAGCTTCAGAGCTTAAATCACACCTGTGAACTGGTTGGAAGACAAACAGGTCACTGATGTCTTCCAGAAACTTCTAGCTAACAACACAAAAAGGAATCTGGGGATTTGCAAGGGAGGAAGATAGACCTCAGGACATGAATTGTTGATGAATTCATGAAATAGTGGACAGTGAAGTTTTTTAAGCTGCTTTTATAGCCACACCCGTCAGTTGAGACTTTTCCTTTCACAAATCAGGAAATGCAGTATAAAATGCTACCTTGTCCCATATGCTATATTTTTGGATTATTGAGTGTTTCTGTCTGGAGCCATTCTCTGTTGTCTTGCAGTGCCAGAGGTAGAAGGGGAAGCAGAGAGTATCAGCTCCCTGTGCTCACAGATCACCAATGCCTTCAGCACACCCTCCGAGGATCCCTTCTCATCCGCCCCAATGACCAAACCAGTGACAGCGGCGGCACCACAGTCTCCTGCCTTTCAAGGTCAGTGCCCTGTTAGCCTGCTCAGCTTTTCTCTCTGAAACTAGCATTTTATGATGCTGCTCACTAACTGTAAGTTGGCATCCTGAGCTTTCAGAAAGCTGGTCAGACCCACTCATTTCCCTGTTTGATGTCTCAGGTGGATTCATTTCCCTGTTCAACAGTGTCCTTGCTCTTTGTTCCCCTCCTGATTCCTCAGATGTTTTCATTTGTCAGTTTGCATGTACCTACCTATCATTCGTCCTGTTCTATTAATATTAGGAGCTACAGTCCCAGCCACTGCTTCATTTCTCCTTCACTGTTCAAAGTCAGAGTATCCAGCCACTTCTCCAGACACAGCAGTCATCAGAGTTGGTTCTAAGTTATTCTTTCTTTAGCACAGTGGTTTTCAACCCAGGGTGATTTTGTCCCTCAAGGAAAATCTAGCATTTATTGTCTGGAGACATTTTTTATTTGGGGTTTCACAACTTGGTAAAGGATGATTGCTAATGGCACCTGTGTAGAGGCCAGGAATGATACTAAACATATTTCAATGCACAGGCTAGCCACCCTTACAACAAAAAATTATCTGGCCCAAAATATCAATAGTGCCAAGGTTGAGAAGTCCTAGACTCATCTAGTCTCTACCCATTCTCAGGAGGCTCATACAGAAAAAGGTACTTCTTTTGGTTCTTTAGATCATTTAATATTCTATAACAGGTGTCCTAGAATTTGACTTTGTGACATTGAAGAGTTACTAAAAGTTGTTTTCAGAGTTTTAGTACAGAAGTCAGCAGAGTCTGTATTACTTAAATTACAGACTTAAGAGTTTGACCTCCTTATAATTGCTATTCCTTTATTTCTTTTGAGAGAGAGAGCTCAGAAAAAGCTTTGCTGTGAGAACAGTACCCTGCTCTTGTTGGAGTAAGCTACAGCATGCTTTTCCTACAAGGAATCTCTTTTTAAAAAATAAACCTTTATACCTTTAAAGTCATGTGTGCCAAATAGCTTTCCATCTGACAAATATTTATAATATCAATAATGAGCCCTAACCGGTTTGGCTCAGTGGATAGAGCGTTGGCCTTCGGACTCAAAGGTCCCAGGTTCGATTCCAGTCAAGTGCATGTACCTTGGTTGTGAGCACATACCTAGTAGGGAGTGTGCAGGAGGCAGCTGATCGATGTTTCTCTCTCATCAATGTTTCTAACTCTCTATCCCTCTCTCTTCCTCTCTGTAAAAAATCAATAAAGTATATTTTTAAAAATATCAATAATGATAGGCACAATTTATTAAGCCCTTGGTACCTTTTACCACATTATGGTAAGAACTCATGCATGTTCTCATCTTTTCTAATTCCATAACAACCCTTTGAGGTAAGCAAAACAGATAAGGAAAATGAGGCTCAGAGAGGTTAAGTAAATTACCCAACATGCACAGCCAGGATTTAAACCCAGGTCTTTCTGAATATAGTACCCTTTACATTCCACTGACTGTATGCCTATTCACAAGGCAATGAGTATAAAACTGAATAGAACGTAGTCCTTTCCCTGTCTTTAAGGGGCTCCCAGTCGAAGGGTAAGCTAGTTTTTCAGACAAGCTCTAGGTAAATAGTACTAAAGCTGCAGCCTGGTTACCTTGTCCTAAACGGGGAATGGTTGTAGTGTAAGGCCAGGGAAGGTACCTGCTTATATGTTCCATACTAAATATGAATGATAGATGGACTGAGGAGGAGCAACTGATAGATAGATGCCCAGAGTATAGGAACAGGGTCTCGGGATATTTTGATAAAGAGAGACAAGAAAAGAATAGTAGGGCCTTTGAGATATTATCAACATTACCAAGGAGGAAAAAATCTTCCAAAAAGAAAGATAAAGTTAATTATGTAGTCAATTATAGATTTATTAAGCAAGTGAAAACATATACAAAGTTTGATTTCTCATCTTTAATGTGGGGATAATACCAGCCTTACTAGGTTTTTGAGAGAATTAAATGAGATGATGCACACTAAAGTATTATTAATATAGCATCTAGAACATAATGTGGAATCATTATATTTATCCCAGTGTTGTTACTGTTGCCTTAACTTGGTCTTTGGAAAGTGAAAGGAGAGGGAAATGCTTTATATACATCATTATGTCAAAGGCTATGCATTAGCTTTTTGCTGCTTGTAATGCAAAGCCGCTCTGTTCAAATTTATTTGAAATTGTTTTTCTAGGCTTTCATTTCCTCTCTCCCCATACACATAGTGTCCTAGAACAGTCATTTGACCCTTTCCAGATAGCTGTTTTCATCACAACCTCTAATTCCCTCTTTGCCAGAAGGTGTGTGTATCCACTAGAAGGTGATATGGTTACCCAACACCAACTTTTCTGTCTGTCTGTTCCATCAGTATTGCACATTGGCCTGACTGACCTATCTCCAACAGGTCACCCGTGCACCCTGCATGAATTAACTCCATTGATGTTGTCTGCTCCCATTGTAGCTAATGGCACTGACTCAGCCTTCCATGTGCTTGCTGCTAAGCCAGCCCATACTGCTCTAGCATCCGTAGCATTGCCTGTGCGTGAAACCAACCCTTGGGCCCATGCCCTTGATGCTGTTAACAAGGGAATTGCAGCCACACATTCGGGTAAGGTGGCCACAGATGGTGGTGAGGATTCTGGGATCAGCTAAGTGACCCTGGTTTGAAAATCAGCCATTTACCTAAGGAGGAGCCAGGGAGAAGTCCTTTTAGGAAAAAGATGTTCTCTCCTGGAAATAAACTACCTACGATTAAGAAAGGATGGAAAAGGTTAAATTGACAGTTCTTAAGACTATGGAACAGAATCACCCACAGAACTTCCATAAAGCACAGATTCCGGGGCCTACCCTGAAGGAGGCTGTTACTGGATTGGGAATATGTGGGTAAGCCTATAGGACGAGGGACCCTGCCTCCTACAAGGGCAGGCCCAAAAACAAGAGCTATAAAAAGCACCTTGTTTTTGCTCTTCTGTACTTTCTAATTTTTCTATAATGAACATGTAACCATTAATACCAAGAGAATTTTAAACAGTAATAAAGGCAGTTCATCAGGAAGGCAACCTGTGTTAGGAAGCCAGGCAGGGGTCATGAGGTACAGAACCAAGTATTTTCTCTTCGTTCTGTTAGAGTAGGTGAGTCACCTGGGGCCCTTTGAGCATGTGCAAGGTGGTCTCTGTACCCTCGGTGAGCCACAGCACCGGGGAGGGGCTTCCTGTGCCGCCAGCTGCCTTGGTTCAGTGCAGTTGAGCCATATCTAGACGGCTCCTCAACGTGGCTGAGACGGCAGCATGGTCTGACACATGCTGCCACAAAACTCCTCTGCCAGTCCCATTCTTCCGCTAGCGGGATTTGTTCCACGTTAGGATCATTCAGGTCACCAAGGTTATCAGGTAAAAAAAAAACGCTCCGAAAGACTGACTCTTCTCTCTCTCATGTTGGTTTCAGGGACCGAGTGGGCTCAGTCTTCTGGTGCTGCCTCTCCAGGTCTCTTCCAAGCCGGTCACAGACGTACTCCCTCCGAGGCCGACCGCTGGTTAGAAGAGGTGTCCAAGAGCGTCCGGGCGCAGCCACCCCCCGCCTCAGCTGTCCCGCTGCAGCCAGTCCTCCAGCCGCCTCCGCCCACTGCCCTCTCCCAGCCAGCGCCACCTTTCCAAGGGAATGCATTCCTCGCCTCTCAGCCCGTGCCAGTGGGTGCGGTCCCGCCCCTACAGCCAGCCTTTATCCCTGCCCAGGCCTATCCTGTGGCCAATGGGATGCCCTATCCAGCCCCTAATGTGCCTGTGGTGGGCATCACTCCCTCCCAGATGGTAGCCAATGTGTTTGGCACTGCGGGCCACCCTCAGGCTGCCCATCCCCATCAGTCTCCCAGCCTGGTCAAGCAGCAGACATTCCCTCAGTATGAGACAAGCACTGCTACTGCCAGTCCCTTCTTTAAGCCTCCTGCTGAGCACTTCAATGGTCCTGCAGCTTTCAATGGTGTAGAGGACGGCAGGTTGGCCTCAGGAGACAAGCACACAGAGGTTCCTATGGGCACCTGCCCGGTGGATCCTTTCGAAGCCCAGTGGGCTGCATTAGAGAGCAAGTCCAAGCAGCGTACCAACCCCTCCCCCACCAACCCCTTCTCCAGTGACTTACAGAAGACGTTTGAAATTGAACTTTGAGCAGTCCCCGTGGCTTATGTATTTTGTCCATACTTAGGCAAGGGCGGGAGGAGGGTGAAGGTTAGAGGAGCAAAGGAGACTTTGTGTTCCCAATAGCACACTTTTCACTAATCCCAAAGGTCCCAGGAGCACGTCCAGGTGCGGAGTGCTGCGTGGGGTGATTCTTGAAAAAAAGTGGAGAAAACCATTCCCAGAGAAGAGCTGTCCTAGTTAGGCTAAAGAAGTCAAGAAAACGTTGCCCTTTGTCCCTCTCCTGCCTCAGCCCCTTACAAATCTCTGATATCAGAGAGGCAGGCGTATCCGAACAGGAATCTGTATTCAAAGCACATTTACTGGAATATAGAACACAACGGGAAGCAAAACGATCTCCCTTTGATTTTCAGGCCATGCACCTGCCTCCTCTCAATCCTGGCCCGCCTTAGAGATTGAGAATAGGGTGGCCTGTGCTTGGGCCGAGGACGAGAGGCAGACGGTGCTGCCAGAATCCCAGGAGGGCGCGTCAGCAGCTGCCCAGCAGAGCTATATTTTAGGGGTAAAGTTGAGCTTCCATTTTGAGTAAGAATATTATAAATATATATCAAAAAAGCCAAAATCTTTATTTTTATGCATTTAGAATATTTTAAATAGTTCTCAATATTAAAAAGTTGTATAAGTTGTAAGTAATCTTGCCAAAGGTAAAAGGGTTAGCTGTAAGAAATTGTACATAAGATTGATTTATCGTTGATGCCTACTGAAGTCAAAGGGGAAAAGCTGGAGGTGCAGACCGAATCCCTCGCTCATTTGGTATCAGTCACTGTAAGTAGAGTAGCACATTGCAACAACAATCATGCTTATGACCAATACAGTCACTAGGTTGTAGTTTAAATAAAGAATGAAAGAGTAGTCTCGTCCTGGTTTTAAACCTATGGTGAAATTCTAATATTATTTTAATGGAATCAGTCTAAATATGCTCTATAGAGAATATGTATTTTCTTTTATATATTGCTGCAGTTTCCTTATGTTAATCCTTGACTTTAACACTAAGGTGACAATGACATCATATGCCTAGACTGGAACGCAGGTTATTCTGTTGGTTTGTCATGTGGGTCTTGGTGGGTTCTGTTTTGTCCTTTAAGTGTTGGTCCCATGAGTTTTGTGGGGATGGAGTTTCTAGTTTTATTAAGGGTGTGTGTGTGTATGTGTGTGTGTGTGTGTGTGTGTCTGTGTCATCCCCTTCCCTTGTGGTGGACAGAACATCCTGTTGCCAGTTGCAGCCACTTGACCTCTGGTAACAACGTGAGATCCCATCTCATTTTTACTTTTGAACGTTGGCCTTACAATCAAATGTAAGTTATATATATTTGTACTGATGAGAATTTATAATCTGCTTTAACAACAATAAATGTTCGTGGTAGAAGCTTTTGCCCATAAAGAGCTGTTCTTTCCCCTTTTTTTTTTATTTTTATTAACAGTTGACTTTAAGTTCTTCCAGGTCTTGTTCCCTCTCTCCATTCTGCTATTGCTGCAGTCTCTAGTTTGGTGGCTAGAAAATCTTTTCTAATATATTCTTTTTAAAATATATTTTATTGATTTTTTACAGAAAGGACGAGAGAGGGATAAGAGAGTTAGAAACATCCATGAGAGAGAATCATCGATCAGCTGCCTCTTGCACACCCTCTACTGAGGATGTTCCCGCAACCAAGGTACATGCCCTTGACCGGAATTGAACTTGGGTCCGCAGACCGACGCTCTATCCACTGAGCCAAACCAGTTTCGGCTCTAATATATTCTTTTATTATTATTTTTCAGAGAGAGGAAAGGAGAAAGAAAAACATCAATTGATCGGTTGCCTCCCACCTGCGCAACCCTCTGGTGTGCAGATAACACTCCAAGTCTCACTGGCCAGAGCTCTGGTATATTCTTATAGTTCATATTTGTATTCATTCTTTAGGCTTTGGTTGATCCTAAACACATCTCTAACATCAGATTCTTGCTGCCTAAAGTGTGGTCTGGACAACAGCACGGACTTCACCTAGGAGCTGGTGAGAGATACAGAATCTCACCTCCCCACCCTCCTCCAGACCTTGGAAGTAGAATCTGCATTTGAGCAAGATTCACAATCAGATGTCCAGGGCTGGAGCAGTGAGTCTCGACCTTGGATATGTATCAAAATCACTTGGGAACATTTAAAATCCTCCTGGCTGGGCGGTACTCTAGACCAATTAAATTCAAATCTCTAGGGAGTGGAACCCTGGTTCTGTTTTTTAAAAGGCTCCCACTGGAGATAATAGATCAACTGAAGGACTTGTATACATGCATATAAGTACAACCAATGGACATAAAACTCTGGGGAGGGAGGGTAGGTATGGGGGGAAGGGAGGTGGGCAAAAAAAAACAGTAAAATATATATTTTAAAAAAAAAAAAAAAAAAAAAAAAATATATATATATATATATATATATATATATATATATATATACACTAAAAAAATAAAAGGCTCCCACTGTGGAAGAGGATTGAAAACCAGTGGTTTAGATTGAGTTTTACTCTCACCTTGAACTTCAGTCCACTATTCTGTGACAAGTTCTAGGAAGAGCTATGTAGCTAACCTTAAACTTACCTTCTTAAAATGTGTTACCGATGGGCCAAATACTGGTTCAATTGAAGAACTGGGGAGTCTTAAGAGTATTAGAAATTTCCTAATTTTTATAGCAAAACCAGCATGGTAAATCAAAGGGAAGGGTTCTCAGTATTTTTAAATGGGAAGAAAAGATCTGAGCCTTGGCCCAAAATATCGATAGGTAGACCAAGAAGTATCCCCCATCAGCCAGTGTGGTCATGAGGAACAAAACCTTCCCCTTAGCGCCTTTCCCCCCAGTTTCTCAGTAACCTGTGTCAGCAGGCCCAGCCAGGCTCTGGGGATTTGTGGAAATGCACTGAGCAGCTCATTGAATCCAGGCCTCTTATTTTAGCAGCAAGGAATTGGAAGTTCTGAGATGAATGATTTCCAACTCAAACCATTTCTGAAGCCACTTATTACCTTGCCCTCCCCTCCATTGGTACCACCATCTTGTTGTTGCTGGTTTCTTTAAATATATTTTTTAATTTGTTTCAGAGAGAGGGAGAGAAAGGGAGGCAGAGATGGAAACATTAATGATGAGAGGGAATCATTGATCTGTTGCCTCCTGTACTCCTCCGACTGAGGATCAAGCCTGCAACCTGGGCATATGCCCTGACCGGGAATTGAACCTGACCTCCTAGTTCATGGGTTGATGCTCAACCACTAGGCCACACTGCCAGACTGCTGTTTTGTTTTTTGTTTTTTTGTTTTTATATTTTATTGATTTTTTTTACAGAGAGAAAGGGAGAAGGATAAAGAGAAACATCGATGAGAGAAAAACATCAATCAGCTGTCTCCTGCACACACCCTACTGGGGTACATGCCCTTGACCAGAATCAACCCTGGGACCTTTCAGTCTGCAGGCCGATGCTCTATCCACTGAGCCAAACTGGTTTCAGCTAGACTGCTGTTTTTAATAATAGTCTGGCTTTTATCTAGCAGCAAACACTTCGATTCACAGATTCCTACTCGAGAAGGAGCAGCTCCTTGTTGGTCTCAGTACAGAGCAGGCCCGTCGATCAGCTCCATACGGGTGTAAGGCGGTCCCCACGGCCAGCTCTTCCTGTTGGCCTCAGGAGGAGGGCTTCCGGCTCCAGCTTCCCGATGAAAGTAAGCAGCTTTTCCAGCTCTTTCATGCTCAGATAGTAATGCAACTGCCACCCTTTCATACTAAACCCCTATACTGAGCCTTACCTTATAGTCCACTTCCCTGAGAGCTTTCACCAACATTATGGTGTTAACCAGAGGCACAGATGGGCTTGAAGTTGGTTGCCATTTACTACCTAGAAGGCTGAGAAAGGGACTAGAGCAATAGACCACTGTTGGACCCCAGATGAGATCTAGTTCAGCAAAGAATCCTTCCCCGTCACAGCAGGAGTTAGGTAGGTGTGAACTTTGAAATTACGTACCTCCCTATCCAGCTTTACATGAAGTGAGAACCCTGGTAGCTCGTTTTAAAAACGCAGTGATGCTGTGTAACAGAAATTAGAGAGGGAAGTTGTAAAGTAAAGGGTTTCTAATCCAAACAGATTTCTCTCCTTTGATCATGACAGAGATGCTGGTCTGGCCTCTGCTGAGACTAAACATTGGCTGGCTGGAGGGGGTGGGGTGGGGTGGGGTGGGATGTCTCCAGAAGGTAACTCCCTTGCCAGCCACGGAGGGGAGAGCGAGTCTCCCTGCCCTTCTCCCCAGCCCTATCAGTTGTTTCAGAACTGGGGCTGGAGCCAGCCTTCATCCCTGCAGCCAGACCGGCTGAGCATGCGGCCGGGAACGGGCACAGCTGGCACAGCAGAAGCTGGAGTAATACTCATTGCCACAGAGCTGGGCCTGCAGGATGAGCTCACAGTTGGCCAGCTCCGGCTGATCCATGCAGTCCCTGCCCGGGTCCCTCGGCTGGGCGGACAGTGCTGTTTTGGAGAGAGAGAGAAAGGGTAAGGAAGTTCTGCGCGCTGAAAATTCTCACCATTTCCTTTCCTTGAAAGTGGCACCTGGAACCTTTCCACACCTGTATGTCCAACTACGAGGAGGGGTCACAATTTCCACCCATTTTTTTCCCCCCAATTATAGCTGACACAATATTATATTAGTTTCAGGTGTGCGACATAGTGATTACACATTCATATAACTTACAAAATCCTATAAGTTTAGTTCCCATCTAAACCATACATAGTTATTACAATATTGTTGACTATTCCCTATGCTGTACTTTACAGTCCTATGGCCGTTTTTATAATTGCAATTTGTATATCTTAGTCCCTTCTCCTTTTTCACTCATCCTCTTAAACTCTCTTCCCTCTGGAAATCATCAGTCTGTTCTCTGCATCTGAGTTTCTATTTTGTTTGGGGTGTTTTTAGATTCCACATGTAAGTGAAATCATACGGTATTTGTATTTCTCTGACTTATTTCACTTAGCATAATACCCTCTGGGTCCATCCATATTATTGCAAATGGCAAGATTTCACTTTTTTATGATTAATATTCCATTTTATATATGTGTACCACGTCTTCATCAAATAATTTAGTGATACTTAGGTTGCTTCATATCTTGGCTACTAATAATGCTACAGTGAGCACAGGGATGCATATGTCTTTTCAAATTTGTGTTTTGGATTTTTTCAGATAAATACCCAGAATTGGAATTGTTGGGTCAAATGGCAATTGTATTTTTAACTTTTTGAGGAACCTCCATACTGTTTTCCATAGCAGCTGCACCAATCTGTATTCCTACCAACAGTGTACAGGGCTCCCTTTTCTTCACGTCTTTGATAACACTTGTTGTTTGTTGATTTATTGGAGATAAACATTCCGACAGGTATGAAGTGATATCTCATTGTGGTTTTAATTTATATTTTCCTGATGATTAATGATGTTTAGCATTTTTTCACATGTCTATTGGTCATCTGTATATTTTCTATGGAGAAATGTCTGTTTAGGACTTTTGCCTATTTTTTAATTGGGTTGTTTGGAGTTTTGAGGGTTTTGTTATGTTTTGTAAATTTTGTGAGTTCTTCGTGTACTTTGGATATTAACCCTTTATTGGATATTTCAATGGTGAGTATCTTCTCCCATTCAATAGGTTGTCTTTTCAGGTTTTTTATTTTTGTTTTGTTAATTCTCAGCCGAGGGGATAAATTTTTTTTTTTTTTTTTTTTTTTTAAGAGAGAGAGAAAGTGGGAGGAGAAGAGAGAAACATCAATGCGAGATTGGTTGCCTCCCACATGTGCTCCAATCAGGGCTGGGAAACAAGCCTGCAATCAAAGTATGTGCCCTTGACCAAAATTGAACCCATGACCCTTCAGTCCACAGGCCAACGCTCTACCCACTGAGCCAAACTGGCTAGGGCTCTATTGTTTTTTAAAAACTAACTCATTTATTTGCACTCTGATCTTTATTATTACTCCCTTCTCACTTTGGGCTTTGTTCTTGTTTTCTAGTTCCTTTATATACAAGGTTAGATTGTTGGAGATTTTCATTGTTTTTTGAAGTATTATTATTTCTCTTTCTCTTCAAACTGCTTTGGCTGTGTCCCATAGATTTGGGGTCATTGTGTTTTCATTTACGTTTATCTCAAGGTATCTTTTCATTTCTTCCTTGATCTCATTGTTAACCCATTTATTGGTTAACAGCATGTTTCTGTCATTTTCCGTTTTCTTGTTTTGATTTCTAGTTTAATTCCACTGTGATTGGGAAAGATGCTCGATATGATTTCAGTTTTCTTAATTCATTGAGACTTCTTTTATGGCCTGACATGTTGGTTATTCTGGAAAATGTTCTGTGTGCACTTGAGAAGAGGCTCGGTGTCAGTCCGACCCCCTGAGCAACACTCTGCCACAGACTTTCTCCCCTGCCCTGCCCAGTCCCCACCCTCATTCTGCAGGCCTGGCCCGGCACGTTCCCCCTCAGCTCCGCTCCTTCCAGCCCCGGGCTCAGCCCTGCTGCTCAGTGAGCCCAGACTGAGGGTGCATGGAGGCACACTGGGCATAGGGCAAAGATCACCTCCATCCTCCCCCCCACAAACCATCCCCCTCCCCCTCTCATCCCCTTTCCCCCCCACCCCCATCCCTTTGGCTTATTTGAACACAGAGCTCTTGTGAGATTGAAGATTATACCACAAGCTGTTTTCATCAATTCTGAGATGCACTTACTTTCATATTTTAACACCTGTCAAACTGGACTGCAAATTAATTGGTGTCCTCGCATTGAATTAGTCATTTTTTCCTTAGTGTTATTAAAATGCATCTTAAAACATGGTATTTAGATTTGTTGAAATTTGATAACAGCTTAGAACAAGACCTAGACAATAGAAGGATGAAATATCAACTTAATAGTGCCAGGAAAATTCTGCCCACTCCAGGTGTAATAGTTTAGTGGAAAGAACATTAAGTATGAGGATTAGCCAACCAGGCCACAGATCTGTGGCATGACCTGTGGAAGTCCCGGGAGCTCTCCCGACTAGTGTGTCACGTGTAACATGGCGACTCTAACCCCTGCCTTTCCTGTCTGGGCTGTGTGATCGCAGGGCCTTACAGGCACTTTCCAAGCGTAGGACCATGTTTGCCGCCCTAATTAGAATGGACAGATTTTAATGATCTGCCTTATTATAAACTACCAGTCAATCCTATTGCTCAAAATACTAAAAAAAAAAAAAAAAAAAAAAAAAAGTGTTTAGCATAACCTATTAAGCTACAAGCCATGCCTGTCATCCACATTATTTCCTTCGTCCTCACTGTAGCCTGTCGGGCGGTGGAGGAGCCCACTGCACACGTGAGGAGAGTGAGGCTCAGGAAGGCTCAGCCCTGCCCCGAGTCACACTTCAGCGCCGGGCAGAGTGAGGACGACTCTGGGCCCCCAGAGGCTGCTGGGGAACAAGCCGCCTTTCCTACCTGGCGGGACCACCTTCACCTCGGTGCTGCGGCTCACTGCCTGGCTGCCACGGTAGGTGCTGCACGTGTAGGAGCCCTGGTCCCCGGCCCGCAGGTTGTGGATCAGCAAAGTGCCATCTGGAGACTGGTGGACACGGTGGCCATCGGCCTGTATCGGCAGCCCGTTCCTGGAGGGGAGAGGCCGTGAGCTCTGTCCAGGGCCTCTGGTTTTCGGCCCCTGGGATGCTGCTCCCAGGCCAAGAGGCAGAGGGAGGAGACAAAGACCACTCCAGAGCCAGCTGCTCCCTCTCTGTGGACAGACAGATGGCCCTCACCTAGAAGAGGTGGGACGGGGTGCCCAAAAGATAGGACATTATCAAAGCGAAACAGAAGTGGCAAACACACCAACAGCACGGTGCTCTGAGGGCCGTAAATGCCTCTCCCACAGAGAAACCCACTCACTTCATTAACCAAGGACTAGGCAGCCATGAGGTGCCAGGCCTGTGCTGGATGAAGCAATAAGCGTTCCCCGCCTCCAGGGCACTGGGGTGGGGGTGCAGGTGTTTGGCAGAGACTGGCCTGAGGATGAGGAGGCTGCAGCTGGCTGGAAGAGAGGGCAACATGGGGACTGTTTGAGGAAGGCCATGGCCGGGGCAAGAGGAAGTGTGCTCAGCTCTGGCCAGGAGTCGGACTGGATCCGGAGGGCAATAGGACTGACGTGGCATTTGTGCTCGGAAAGTCTCTGACTGCAGGGGAGGTTGGGGGCCAGGCCTGGAAACAGACCAGGTCAGAGGCTGCTGCACAGGTAGAGGACACAGGCAATGAGGGTCAGGTGTGGGAGAGGAGAATCGAGGAGGATTGCGGTTTGTAGGGGGGGGTGCTGGGTAATGGGGTGCCCCTCCACCGTGGGAGACCCAGGACAGTGATGAGGGGTGAATGGTGAGGTTATTTTCCACCGTTTTGCATTTTGTGGGCCTGTGAGATACCAGGAGGCATTGGGCTTGAGGTCTGGACCCAGATCATGGTCACCACTGGACGGTCCCTGAAACCATGTGTCTGCATGTTTGCCGAAGGAGAAGTTAGATAATCCGAGGACCACGGCCAGACCTTGAGGTCCGCTGGCTTCTAAGGGACGGCTCTGCGGAGATGAGCCAGCTGGGAAAGGAGCAGGAAGGGCCTGGGCCGTGCGGGGACAGGGTGTGTCCAGAAGACAGGAGCAGGCGAGCAGCTGGTGGCCTTGGCCAGGGCTGGGTGCGGTGACCGGGTGGAGACAGGCTGTACACAGGTGCTGTGAGGAGGGATCCTGAGCATGTTCCCACGGGAAGACCCGCGGGAGGCAAAGGGGAAGGTACAAGCCCAGTCCAGGGCGAGGGCCTTTCCTGTCCTGGGATCACCTGTCGCTTCACCAAGAACATCCTCCCCTCCTCAGCCTTCAAGGCCCAGCCAAGGCCCAGCCTGCCACCCCTTCCTTGGTTCTCCCTGAGGGAGTCAGCCTCGCTCCTCTGTGCCCACAGCACTGAGGCACTGGGCAGCTCCTGCCTGAGAGTATCTAGGGGGCTCTGACGACCCGGGACCCTCAGAGCCAGCCTGCTAGACGCTGCAAGGAGGAGGAAGGCAATCAGACCCCCCGAGTCCTAAAAGCCTACCCCCCAGAGGTGCGTGCAGGCCCCGTGGTTCTCAACCCCAAGGGAGACTCTGCCATCGAGGGGATATTTGGCAACATCTGGAGACATTTCTTACTGTCCTGCAAAGGTGCTGCTGGCCGCCAGGGGGTGCTGGCCTAGATGATGCTAGACACCCAACAAGGCACAGGGTAGCCCAGATTATCGGGTCCGAATTGGCAATAGAGCTGGAGTCGAGAAACCCTGGTATGGCCCAGCTAACAGGAGAGAGCAGCCCTGTGGGGCCTCACTGTGAAGGCACCAGGCCTGGTGGGAGGGGGGCGGGGACAGCAGGGACAGCAGCGTCCCTGCAGGGAGGTGGACCTTACCGGGACCATCTGATGTTCACACTTTCTCCTGCCACCACACACTGCAGCCTGGCCGTGTCACCTTCCGGCACCGTCACCGTGGAGGGCAGCCCTGTGATTGTCAGCTCCCCTGGGCCCAAGGGGGGGCACTGTTAGCCACTCTGCGGAGCCTCCCAGCGACTGGCCCCGTCACCCTCCGTCCCACCCTCCCTGCCCCTCACCCTGAACTCTGAGCTGCACCCATCGCTGCTCTCGGTCCTGCCCGTTGAAGGCGACACAGGCGTAGAAGCCACCGTCTTCCACAGCCACGTGGCTGATGACCAGAGACCCATCGGGCTGCTGCTGGTGTCTGGGGAACCAAGCAGAGTCGGGGGCTCCAGCCCATGCAGGTGGAGACGGGAGGGGAGGGGGGGTCCTTTTCCAGGTGAGAGGGTCTGACAGGGCCTGTGGGCAACCAGCTGCCCGCGCTCATTTACTTGAAGGTGCCTGACTTTCGTCTTGGCAATAAATCATTTCACATTCTCTGACACAACATAATGTGTGTTTCCAGTTTTTGCTCTGCTCGTTTAGCAGGCTCACATCCTGGTCCTGCCACTGAGGGGCTGTGGGGTGGAAAGCTCCTGGTGAAAATGGGGTAGGATTTTCTGCAGACTGTGTGGAGACCAGACACGCTCACGTGGGGCCACGCTAGCCATTACGACAGCCAGGACTGCCTGCCTCCTTCCGCCCCAGCCACCACCTGCCAGCTGCCCTGCCCCTCTGCCCACTGACCACTCTGGAAAGGCCCACGGAGCCCTGTGCCCGGCAGCTCCCTCCCCCAAGGGCCTGCACAGGGCGGGGAGGGGCAGCAGGGAGGGGGAGGGGCGGACCAAACCTGGGAGAAGAGAGGGTCTGCCCATCCCTCTGCCACTCGATGGTTGGGGGTGGGAAGCCCTCAGTGCGACAGGTCAACCGGACCCGCTGGCCGGGATGGGCGTCCACCACCCCAGGCTGGCTCTGGTCCAGGCGCAGCCTGCAGGACAAGCACCCACAGCCCTGAGGGGGCCCTGCTGCTGCCCCCCATTCCCATCCAGCATGGGGTCGGGACCTCTGCACAAGCCCCAGGGGCCCCTCCTTCTCCAGCCAGATGTAGCTTCCTAAAGCCTCCCCGCTGTTCTGCAGGGACCCCATCAACGACTGGGCCGAAGTCCAGCGGCCACCTCCACTTCCTCCCCCAGACTCAGACTGCTGCTCCGCACCCCACACGGCCTGGGTTCCCTGCAGCCCCTGCAAACTGCGCTCTTCAAAGCCGTCCTGGGCCCTAACCCTGACTCCCCTTCCCGCAGCTCCTGAGGCCTGTTCCCAGGGCTGGCCGAGGAGCCATGCTCTTCCAGTTCTCCCCTCGCAGAGCCCTGGGCAGGGCCAGCGAGCCTGGGCACAGCACACCGCTCCACGGGCCCCGACCCCACGGGGGGCACTCTGCCCCGTTACCTGGTGGAGGGCCGTGGGTGCAGAGAGGAGATGGCCCCCAGGCCTCCAGCGTCCCGCCCTGGGCCTGAGTCCTGAGCACGGTGGCCCTGGGCGGGGACGTCACCCCCTGTGTGAGGCCAGAAGGAAGGAGTGGCGGGGAGGAGGGGGGAAGGGGAGGGAAGGGTCGGCCATGAGGCCGGGTGGGATCGTGGAGAAATGAGGGCCATGAGGAGCAAGACTCCACCCCAGCACCTGCCCCGCATGCCTGGGCCCGGAGCACCCCAGCCCCTCCGCCTGGGTGCCCGGCTCGGCCCCTCAGCCAGTCCCTCCCGCCCTGGGCCCCTGAGCACCCGCCGGGCAGGGGACAGGGACCTGTGATGCGCAGCTGGATCTGCGGGGAGGCCCGGCCCGGCCTGGCGCCGCAGCTGTAGGTGCCCGCGTCCTCCGCCCGCAGGGGGCCGACCACCAGGGAGCCGTCCGGCTGCAGCCTGTGTCTGAGCGAGGGGGACGGGGACAGCAGTGAGCCCGACCCCCCCGGGCTCCGTGCTCCAGCCGGAGGGGCCGTGGCCCCGCTCCCCCGTCCCAGGGGGCATCAGGGGGCCGCCCGCCTCTGGGGGAGGACCCCGCACACACCTGTCCGAGGAGAGGGGCTGCCCGTCCTTCTGCCACCTGGCAGGGAGGCCCGTGGAGGCCGCATCCGGGCAGGAGAGCCGCACCGCCTGCCCCAGGGCCGCCTGCACCAGCGAGGGCTCCACGCCGGCCTGGCTCCCCCTGCAGCGGTGGGCGGTGAGGACCTGCCTACTGGCATGGGTGCCCCCACCAGGCCCCCTTCGCTGTGTGTCCCACCCTGTCACGGGCACCGAGGGGCCAAACTCCAGAAGCCCATGGACTCAGCAATCTGCCCTCCCAACTCCCCCCAAGCCAAGCACTGCCCTCGGCCTGGCTGGCACAGCAGGGACGCACCGAGCCCAGGCGAGGAGGGGGTGAAGGGTGGGAGGTGGGAAGTGGGGGGTGGGGGCCGCCCAGGCCACAGTCACACTAATCTCTCCTGCTTCTTGTTGTTTTTAATCTCCCCACATCTCTCATTCCTACGCACAGGCCCAAGGCGTTAGCAGGCGCTGCCCACCCTAGCCGGTGAGCTGGCACCCCCTTTTACAGGCCAGCCCTCCAGGCCGGGGACAGGCCGGGGCCACGGGGAGATCTGCCGGTGGGTCCACCCGCCAGGGCCTGGCTGTCCACGCGTCCCCGGTGTCCAGGCCTCCAGGCAGGGTGGGCGGAGGGCGGCTGGCCTCCGGGTTTTAAATCCCGGGCCTGGGCCCCTGTCCCCTCCTGGGGAAGGCGAGGCTCACCTGTGAGAGGAGCTGTGGGAGGGTGGTGCTGGCCGCCCCGCATCTCCGCCCAGTCCTGGGGTGCTGGAGCCCAGCTCCGGGCCCCAGGGCCGTTCCCCTGCGGCCGGGGGCTGGTGCGCGGCCCCGGGCCTGTGCTGGCCGGCCTCCCGCTGGCCTCCGGGGCTGCTGTGGGCGCTCTGGCCCGCGGCCCCCAGCTCGGGCTGGCGGGGTGCCTGCTGAGCCCCCCGGCAGCTGCTCATGCACTCCTCCTCCGAGGCGAAGTTGTTGGCGTTGCCGTGGCAGCCGCCGTACCAGAAGCGGTTACACCGGCCCACGGAGGCGATGAAGTACCAGCGAGGGGCCCAGTCTGTGCAGGAGCCCAGGGCGCTGGGCAGCAGGCACCCCACGGGGTAGGCTGCGGGCAGGAGCACGGACTGCACTCAGGCGGCCAAAACGGCCCAGCAGAGCCCTGTCAGAAACTGCCCACATCCCCTCAGAGACAGGAGCCTTCCAGTCTATGGAGCAGCCTTCACCCCAGCCCCAGCCCCGGCCCCTCACCCGGCCCTGGGGCAGTCTGCTCACTGCCTACACCTGGGCACAGAGCAGCCTCCGAATCATCGTGGCACCTCCACCCACAGAACCTTCAGGCCTGGGAGCTCCCTGGACTGGCCCCCGCACCCTCACCCCTGACCAGGCCCGTGGAGTGCACACCCAGGGCACCCCAGGGCTTGACCCAGCCCTGAGCTCCAGGAGCCTGAGCAGATGCCCAGCGAGTGGCCCACCCAGTGCCCAGGCCCCTTCGCCAGCCTCTGGACACCCTCCAGCCCACCCGCCGGTGCTAGCAGCCCCGCCCAGCATGGCCTCCCCTCCACGTTCAGACATGGCTGTAACTGGCCCTTGCCCAAAGCCTCCTGCAGACCCAGACCAGCCTGCCTGGCCTCCAGCGTCTCCACGTGGGTTCCCCAAAGCTCCGTCCACGCATCCCTGCTCCAGCCCCAATACCTCCTTCCAGGTCTCGCCCCCGGCAGGGCAGGGACACCCTATCCACAGGCACTGACCCTGCACCACCTCTGCTCTGACGGGGTCTGAGCGCCCTAGGGAGAAGGACGGGCTTCCTCCTCTGTGGGGTCCCCACCTACACTCTCCCGACCCCCACCGCAGCCCGGTGGCCTCCGTGCAAGAGAACTGGGGGTGAAAACAGACGGCTGTTCCCGGGCCTGGCACCCAGGGGGCGCTGGGTACATCCTCGTGGAAGAATGAACCAACCACCGGGCCCAGGAAGGTCTCGGCTGTGAAGGCCGACCAGAGCCTGCCCACCAGGCTGAGGAAGGCACCCACTCACCGTAGCTGGGCCGGCCCACACAGCCTTCCCCAAAAGGGCCTGCTGCAGAGGCCACGTTGTCATAGCAACAGCCAAACTGGGAGCCGCGGCACTCCGTGGGCTCGCTCTGCTGGGCCTGGGGCTGCTGGGCCCGGGGCACCTGGGGAAGAAGTGGGAACAGATCCGCTTCCTGGTGGGCTCTCGGATGGCAGGGAGAGGATGGCAGGAGCGGGAGAGACAGACTGTGACCCTCCCCCCCTTCCCTCCCCCCTGCCCCCGTGCAGAACGCCAGCCCTGAGGCAGATCAGGGCCCGGAGGACAGCAGACCAAACCCCCAGCCCCAGACGTCTCTGAAGCGTGTGTCCTGGAGAGAACGCCCCAGGCCGACAGGCTCCAGAGACCTCCTCCCTGCAAGGCCCGAGCTGCGTCGTGAATGGGACACTCACCGTGGGGGCCACTGCTCTGGACCCCGACTGCCTGTCACCGCCGTGAGACGTGCCACAGCCGGCGTGGTGGGGCCCCTCAGCCACAGACACCCCGTCAGGGCAGCACCCGTACCTAGACAGACACCACGGCCCTCTGCTCACCGCCCGGCCCCTCCCGGGACCCTGAGCTTCCAGCACCGGGACTCCCTGCACCGGGGCTGACCAGGACTTCCAGGAGGAGAGGCCGTGTCCCTGGACGCATATCCCAGCTCGCACACCCACCCCGGACGCCAGTCCACCAGCCCCGGGAGCGGCCAGCGGGGAGGGCAGACCCTCGGCGCACACATCCCACCCCAAGAGCGAGGGACCGGGCAGGCGGCCTCGTCACCAGACCCCAGGGCGGGATAAAACAGAAAGAGGGCCAGGAAGCCAGCACGCATTTCACCCACAGCCAGGGCTTGGGAAGGAGGTGAAAGGAAGAGCAGATCTGAGCCCCTGCCCCGGGCAGGCCCTGTGGGTCTGCTCGTCCTCACAGCCGCCCAGCCAACGGCTGTCGCTGCTCCGATCGCAGCCGAGGAGGCCAAGACCCAGCACCCGGCCAACAAGCGGCTGAGCTGGGACTCACCCCCGGCCGCTGGCCCCAAAGTCTGGGTCCTTCGTACTTAGCCCCTGGGGAGTGGGGCCTGGTTTGGACGGAAAGCTGGAACCCAACCCGTGCGCCTTCCTAGAGCTTCGGCGACAGCCCCACTGCAGAGGGAGCAGGCCTTCCGCCCCATTCACACCGCACAGCCCGAGGAGGCACGGCCAGGGCCGTCAGGGCTGCAGCAACCGCTGGCCCATTCCTGGCTCTGCAAACCCACCCGCCCTCCCTGAGCTGAGGCTGCTTTCCCCGCCAGCACCTCCCCCATCCCTGCCCCCCCCCACACACACACACAGACACACACACACACAGACACACACACACACACACACACACACGCGCGACACACACCACACACAGACACACACACACAGAGACACAGACACACACAGACACAGACACACACACACACACAGAGACACACACACACACACGCGCGCGCGCGCACACACCACACACAGACACACACACACACATACACAGAGACACACACACACACAGATACAGACACACACACACACACACACACACACACACACACACAAACACGCGCGCGCGCGCCTCTGACCTGGTGAGCGGAAGAGGCACCCACCTGCCCTGCTGACAAGAGGCCCCGGGGCAGCCTTGCCACTGTGGCCCGAGAGAGGCCGAGTGGCCGTCGGGGCAGCAGCCGTGGGGGCCGAGCCTGCAGTCCTGGGGCCCCGAGGCAGCCCACAGGGGCTGCTGCAGCGCGGAGGCTGGGGTGGGGGCTGGCAGGGGGGGGCCCTGCTCTCCTCTGGGGTTACCCGGAGCTGAGGGCTGCTCCCAGGGTGCCCACCACTGGTCTCTGGAATCTAGAAAGACGAGAAAGCAAAGACACATGATGTGTGCTTCCCTCCACCCCCCCTAAACCACTCACCCTCACCCCAACCTCCATGCCCGGGGCCCTGGGTCGGAGCTTCTGCCAAGCTTCTCATCCAAAGCGGGGCCCCCCTGAGGGCCCAAAAACACCCAAGAGACCTGGAGCTGGTGTGCACATCCTGCCTGCTGGGGAGCCGGCCGCCGGGCGGGAAGCAGAGGAAGGAGGAGAGGAGTGTGAGAGCCGTGGCCCGCCCTGAACAGCCTCTGCTCCCACCTGCGGGTCAGGCAGGCCTGGGGGACCCAGCACAGCGGACGGAAACGAGCAGGGCCTGTGATTTCATAAGACCCTTCCCACGTTCTAAGAGTCTTTAATTCCATAGAAAACACCAATGTTACATGTTCAGCAAAAAGGAAAGCTAGATATAAAATTAGCATCTGTTTGATCCCAACTATAAACACACACACACACACACACACACACACACACACACACACACACACACACAAAAGGTCATACACAATTTTTAAAAATTGGATTGTTGAAAGAACAAATAACCCAATCTAAAAACAAGCAAAGAAATTGAACAGGCATTTTCCCAAAGATACCCAAATGACCAAAAAGCACATGAGATATTCAACATTGTTGGTCATTAGGAAAGGCGCAACACAGCCAAGATGAGGTATTGCTTTGCACCCACTACCATGGCTCTAATAAAAAAAAAAAAATCTGAATAGCCTGGCCAGTGTTTCTCTTTCCCTCTCTCTTCCATTTCCTCCAGAATCAATAAGAATATCCTATGTAGAAAAAAGATAGAGGAGGATCCAAGATGGCTGCACAAGTAGCCGCACACAACAATTTCAATAAAATATAAAATGGACATTGCCCAGAGCTACAGGAAAGTTGACTGACTGGAAATTCTACAACAAGAAGGAAAGAGAAAACCAGAAGGAAAATCAGAGGAGCTGTAAAAGCCTAAGGTACGGAGACATGTGCGTGCGGAGAGGACAGAGCCAGAGAGGAGGGGGAGGCTGAGTGCCTGGCTGGCGTTCCCTAGCGGGAAGGAGATAAAAGCTCCAGATTGTGCTGAACCCCAGACCCGACAGCACTGAACCCCAGTTCTAGGCCAGACCCCGGGAACCCAGGCTCAAACAGAAGGAGCCTGGGCTGTGAGGCGGAATCCCAGGGGAGCGGCGAAAGGCAGAGCCCCTAGAGGCGCGCACATTGCGCGCAGAGAAGGAACGGTTGGTTGAGCTGCGGGATTGCCCTGGCGGGAAGGAGACAAAAGCTCCAGGCTGCTCTGAACCCCACTTCCAACCCCACTTCCAACTGAACTGAACCCCAGTTCCAGGCTCATTGGGGGAGAGCCTAGACTGTTTAGTAGCAGGCGAAACTCGAGGGCAGCTCACTCTCAGAGGTGCTTGCAGCGAGTACTGAAGGACCTTGAGGAATACTGAGACTCAGGAGCCTCATAGGGCGTGGTTGACGGAAGCCAAGCCTGTAGGCTCCACCTTGAAACTCCGCCCCATCAGGGAAGCTGCGAAAATGCCGGGACAACGAAATAGATCACAAACGAAAGAAATGGAGGACAAAAAGCGACTGGATATAGAGTTCAAATCTACGCTTATAAGGTTTTTCAAGAATTTACTAGAAAAGATCAATAAGATATGAAAAGGGATCAACTAGAATTAATAAGGAATAAACAAGAAATGATAAGGAATCAACAATAAATAAAGAATATATTGTCTGAAATAAAACATATTATACAGAGTCCTAAAAACAGAATGGAATATCGAAGAATCAAGTCAAAGATTTGGAACATAAAAAGCCAGAAGACACTACACAGAAGCAAGAAGGCAAGAGAATCCAGAAAGTTGAAGATAATGTAAGAAACCTCTGGGACAACTTCAAGCGAACAAACATCAGAATTATGGGGGTCCCAGAAGATGAGAGAGAGCAAGATATCGAAAACATACTGTAGGAAATAGTGACACAAAACTTCCCCCACTTGGTGAAAGAATTAGACTTACAAGTCCAGGAAGCGCACAGAACTCCAAATAAAAGGAATCCAAAGAGGACCACACCAAGACAAATCATAATTAAGATTCCAAGAGCAAAAGACAAAGAGAGAATATTAAAAGCAGCAAGAGAAAAGCAAGTAGTTAGCTATAAAGGAGCACCTATACGATTGTCAGCTGATTTCTCAACAGAAACCATGCAGGCCAGACGGGAATGGCAAGAAATATTCAAAGTGAATAGTAAGAACCTACAGCCAAAAATAATCTATCCAGCAAAGCTATCACTCAGAATCGAAGGTCAGATAAAGAGCTTCACTAATAAATAAATAAATAAATAAATAAATAAATAAATAAATAAATAAAAAGCTAAAGGAGTTCATCAACACCAAACCAGAATTATATGAATTGCTGAAGGGAGTTCTTTCAGAAGAGAAAGTAAATAAAGATAAAAATTATGAACAACAAATACGTAACTATCAACAAGTGAATCTAAAAACCAAGGAAATTTTAAAAAAAATCTGATGAACAATATTAACAGTTGAATATAATAGAATCAGAGAGATGGAAGGGGAGTGAACTGATGATTCTCGGGGAAAAGGGGAGAGGGGGATGTGGGAAGAGACTGAACATAAACTGTGCACCTATGGATGAGGACAATGAGGGGTGGGGAAAGGGCAGAGGGTGGGGTGGGAACCTGATGGAGGGGCGGTAAAAAGAGGAACATTTGTAATAATATGAACAATAAAGATTTATTTTTTAAAAATGTCCAAAAAGAAAAAGAATATCCTATGTAATCCTAGGTAATAAAAAGATAATATGCAAATTAACCATCACTCCGTCACAAAGATGCAGTGCCCATAGCCACAGATGGTGGCACCCAGTCCTCTCAGCCCTGCTGGATGGGTGGCTGCTGAGAACTGAGAGAGGCAGCATGAGCGCCCTGGTGGAATGCTTACTTCGTCAATGATTCTCTCTCCTCATCGATGTTTCTCTCTCTCCCTCTCCCTTCTTCTCTGGGGGAAAAAAAAATTAATTGTAGAATTTAGAAGGTGGGTACATGGCTCCTCCCTATACAGTTCTCTATTTTCATATTTAAAAATTTCCTCTGTCTTGTTCAGCTGGGTAAATTTACCGAAAATCATGAATTATATCATTAGAATAGGTGAATGCTATGGCTTATTATACTCAATCACCAGGACCGTTATTCAACATGTTTTTCATCATAAAATGCTGGAGAAAAAGGCAAAAGACTGAGTGAAGAAAACGGAATTTTTAAATGATGAGTAAGACTTCGAGAACCCCCCAAAGGCCGTTCCTAGGTGCTCCGTGGTGGACGCCTGTGCTGGAGGGATGAGGGGGTCCTTTCTCCTGTCTGTCCGAGTTTTTCAAATCTTCCAGCGTAAGCACATTATCACATAATGGAAGGAAGTTAAAAAGTGAACATTCCATTCCCATGTGGACTGCATCTTGCCAGTCCCCAGGGGATCCTTACAAACTAATGACGTGGGGGTGGATTTTTCAGTAGATACCAATCTTTGTGTTCGTTTTATTGCCCTCCCACGCAGGCCAAAACCTCCCTCCAGCTCTGTCACCTCCCCACCCCCTCAGGCCCACCCCCTTCTCTCAGACCGGAGTCCTGGTCCCCAGCTGGCCCGGGGACTCTGCCTGCTGTCCTCCTGCCACCCCAGGCGGGAGGCCCTGTCTGCCGCGCCCACCCTGCCTCCGGCTCCCCCGAGGACTCTCCCCACCCTCCGTTCAGGCTTCCCGTGGCGCCAGGACCCCTTCCCACACACCCTCTGGAGTCAGGCCCTGCGGGGCCAGCACCTGCCCCTCAGCTTCTATCACTTCCACAGCCGCTCCCCACCGGCTCCTGCCTCCCAACTGTCCCCCCTCAGTCCATCTCTGTGTGCCCAGTTTGTCCTCCCGAACAGCTTTCCCGGCGTCACCACTTCCACCGGGACCTTCAGCGGCTCCCCTGGGCTCCACTGACCAGTGCAGCCTGAGCCGTCCGTCACCACCTCGCCCCCGGCTGAGGGCAGAGCACTGGGCACTGGGGATGGGGCCAGAGGGATGCAGAATGGAGTTTGACATTCGTTCATCAGGATTCACTTAATTTTAAATCCAGATACTGACGCTTGATTCATTTATAGGAAAACATCCAGTATGTCCGGAACAACGTGGGTAGTCAGTCTATCTGTCAACTGCACATTTTATGAAATCTAAATGTCAGTCACCTGTGCCGGTGTGCTCTAAGTGCAAATTATATATTGGATGCTAAAGATTTATTTATCTTTAAATCTTGTGTAGAATGAATGCAAAAATATCCCATTCATGATTTTTATTTGAATTGCGTGTTAAGTAAAATTTTTATTAAGTATAAATGTACTTATTTCCTTTTATTTTTCTTTTAATGTGGCTCTCAGAAAATGCTCACTGCCATCTATGGCTGGCGTTTTTTTTTTTTTTGTTTTTTTTTTAAATTGGTTCTTTACAGAGAGGAAGAAAGAAGGATAGTTAGAAACAACCATCAGCTGCCTCCTGCACACCCTCCATGGGGGATGTGCCCGCAACCAAGGTACATGCCCTTGACTGGAATCAAACCTGGGACCTTTCAGTCCGCAGACCGACGCTCTATCCACTGAGCCAGACCGGTTTCAGCTGGCATTCTATTTCTAGAAAGAGGAGGAAGCAGAGGTAGCCGGTGTCCACTCCGACACCCACCCTCATGGCCTCCTCCTTTGACCCGGGTCCCTCCTCCCGGGCACCTGCCAAGTGCACAACAGCATCAGTGACAGCTAAGACTGAGGCTGAAAAAATGGTCACAAACCCAGAAATCCTGAGGCTGGAAAAATGGTCTCAAGCCTAGTGGCCCTCACGGGGAAAGCAGACACAAACCAGCCCCTCCCAGGAAGGACCCCAGCCACCACTGGGCAGACCGATGGCGATCGCAGCTTCTCCACACACACTATTTCCTGACTCCCAGACCCCTTCCCACGGTGCCCCACGGCGCGCACATTGTGAACCGCTGTGGGGGCGGGCGGGCGGGGGGGGGGGGCCTGGGGGAAGGGACACAGGCAATACTTCCAACAACAAGGCATTTTTAAAAACCGTTGTGGGTGGAGGTTCTTGCTCTAACAACTCAGCCTGGAGTTCCCCTCCCCCTCCCGCCCACGTGGACGCCTCTCGGGCAGGGAGCTGGGTCACAGGAGCCGAGGAGCCTCCTGCCCCTGCTCACGGGGCCAGGCCCAGGGCCTCTCTGGCCTCTCCACCACCACAGCCAACGCTTTGCTGCTCAAGACTGTGGCGCAGGCCTGGTGCCAGCAACGCCCCACAAGCCTGAACGTCCTCTCCCTGACCCGTCACACAGGCGGGCACACAGTCAGAGGCGGGGCAGGTGCCCCGGGCCACATGGATTTGTCGGCAATGGAGCGGAGATTTGAACCCAGGTCCGTTGTGAACTCCAGGCCCTGGTTTTTGGCCGCCCTGCCATGTGCTGCCCCATCACGGCTCCCTGGTCCCCATCACGGCTCCCGGGTCCCCATCACGGCTCCCTGATCCCCATCACGGCTCCCGGGTCCCCATCACGGCTCCTGGGTCCCCATCACGGCTCCCTGGTCCCTATTACGGCTCCCGGGTCCGCATCACGGCTCCTGGATCCCCATCACGGCTCCCGGGGTCCCATCACGGCTCCCGGGGTCCCATCACGGCTCACTGGTCCCCATCACGGCTCCCTGGTCCCCATCACGGCTCCCTGGTCCCCATCACGGCTCCCTGGTCCCCATCACGGCTCCCTGGTCCCCATCACGGCTCCCGGGGTCCCATCACGGCTCACAGGGTCCCATCACTAGTATGTCAGGGCCCAGCACGCCTCTCCGCCGAACCAGGCCACCCCACCCCGGCCCAGCCCGCACATCCTCACACCGAGCAAGTGCTGACCCCGTGACCTTCCTCCAGAGCTCCTCACGCCTGGGACTCGCTCTCCCAGTGGGGACAACGGGGGAGGAGGGGGGACAGACAAAGAGCGGTGTGTGCAGTGTGCGCCGTGTGTGCAGTGTGCAAGGACCATCTTTCCTGGCCCCTCACCGCACTGCCTCAGTCAGCAAACACTGAGTACCCTCCTGCCTGCAGAGCCCACGGGCTGAGGGCAGGAATGAGGAAGGCAGAGACTCGGAAAGTTGATAACCGGCAGCCCGGCAGGTCAGATACAGCCTCCGCAGCCCAAGAAACCTGGAGCGGTGGGCGGGCTGAGGCACAGCTCAGGGGGAACAGGGCGGCCGGTGGGTGGGGGCTGCGGAGAGGGAGGGTGGAGGAGGTGACCAGGGGCTGCCCCGGAGGCAGGCCAGGCTGGCTCCGTGGGCGGGCGGCCGGCCTCTCCCGTCCTTACCCGGAGGCGGCGGGCAGGGCTGCGGGCTGCAGGGCTCCTCCTCCGCAGGCCTCCGCAGCCGCAGGCTCTCGCAGTGGCCGGGTGGCCCAAGGGCGCACGCCACCTGCCGTCTCCGCGTGCCCCAGCCGCAGCTCTGGGAGCACTGGGCCCGGCGAGAAGAGGCACAGCATGTGACAGGGAACACCAGGCGCAGGAGCGGGCGCAGGAGCGGCCCCAGGCAGGGAGAGAGCTCTGAGGGCACCCACAAGGGGGGGGGGGGAGAGAGGGGGGAGGGAGGAAGGAAAAGAAGGGGGGAGGGAGGAGAAAGGGGGGAGGGAGGGGGACGGAGGGAGGCAGGGTGGGAGGGAGGAGGGAGAGAGAGGAGAAGGGAGGGAGGGGGGAAGGGAGGGAGGGAGGGGGGAGGGAGAAAGGAAACGGGGGGGGGGGGGCCGGGGGGGGGGAGGAAGGCAGGGAGGGAAGGTGCTGACAGTGCCTGTCAGACCCCAGGACAGGCATCTGTGCAGCCACCACCGGAGACCAGGGCACCAGGCTTGGGCAGAGGGGTTGGGGCGGTGCTCACCGGACTCCAGGCGCCGACGTGCCAGGCCTGGTCCCCGCGGCGGGGGCAGTCGCCGCGCACACAGGGCTCGGTGAGGGGCGGCTGGGCCTCCGGGGAGCAGGCCGCGGCGGGCAGCAGGGAGCCCTCCTCGGCCCGGCAGGTGACGCTCCTCCTGCGGGTCCCCGAGCCGCAGCTGACGGAACACTGAGGACAGAGCACTGTGAGGGCCGGGCACTGAGGGCCGGGCACTGTGAGGACCAGACACTGAGGACCGGGCACTGTGAGGACCGGGAACTGTGAGGACCGGGCACTGAGGACAGAGCACTGTGAGGGCCGGGCACTGAGGACCGGGCACTGTGAGGGCCGGGCACTGAGGACCGGGCACTGAGGACCGGGCACTGAGGACAGAGCACTGTGAGGACCGGGCACTGTGAGGACCGGGCACTGTGAGGGCCGGGCACTGAGGACCGGGCACTGAGGACCGGGCACTGAGGACAGAGCACTGTGAGGACCGGGCACTGAGGACCGGGCACTGTGAGGGCCGGGCACTGAGGACCGGGCACTGTGAGGGCCGGGCACTGAGGACCGGGCACTGTGAGGGCCGGGCACTGTGAGGGCCGGGCACTGAGGACCGGGCACTGAGGACCGGGCACTGTGAGGACCGGACACTGTGAGGACCGGGCACCGTGAGGATCGGGCACTGTGAGGACCGGGCACCGTGAGGACCGGGCACCGTGAGGACCGGGCACTGAGGACCGGGCACTGAGGACCGGGCACTATGAGGACCGGGAACTGTGAGGACCGGGCACTGTGAGGACCGGGCACTGTGAGGACAGAGCACTGTGAGGGCCGGGCACTGAGGACCGGGCACTGTGAGGACCGGGCACTGAGGACCGGGCACTGAGGACCGGGCACTGTGAGGACCGGGCACTGTGAGGACCGGGCACTGTGAGGACCGGCATCAGCGCAGCATGTCCTCACCCCAAGGATCCACGCCGGTCACACAGTGGAAGCCCTATTGCTCGCAGGACCAGAGATGCTGAGGCACTCCCCTGAGGCCACACAGCCTGAGCCACGCATGTGGACTCCAGGCTCAGGTGCATTTTCCACCTTATTCCCTCATTCGACAAACGTGGGTGTCAGAAGCCACGGCCAGCAGCCCCGGACTGTGAGGGCCCTGCCCTTGGCCCAGCAACGTGCCCAGCAGCCCCTCCTGCCGAGGCTGAGCACCTGCTCCTTTCCCAGCTCTGGCCGCGGCTTCCGAGCCCACCCAGCGGTGACTCGATTGGACCTGTTTCTGTGGCAAAGTACGAACCTCCCAGCCCTCCCAGCCCTCCCAGGCCCAGACCAGCTGCTGCCTCCCGCCCTCCCAGCCGCCCAGCCTCACCTTTCCCCATGGCCCCTCCCCTGCCCAGCCCAGCCTCACCTCTCCCCAGGGCCCCTCCCCTCCCTGCCTCACCTCTCCCCAGGGCCCCTCCCCTCCCTGCCTCACCTCTCCCCAGGGCCCCTCCCCTCCCTGCCTCACCTCTCCCCAGGGCCCCTCCCCTCCCAGCCTCACCTCTCCCCAGGGCCCCTCCCCTCCCTGCCTCACCTCTCCCCAGGGCCCCTCCCCTCCCTGCCTCACCTCTCCCCAGGGCCCCTCCCCTCCCTGCCTCACCTCTCCCCAGGGCCCCTCCCCTCCCTGCCTCACCTCTCCCCAGGGCCCCTCCCCTCCCAGCCTCACCTCTCCCCAGGGCCCCTCCCCTGCCGCCCGGCCTCACCTCTCCCCAGGGCCCCTCCCCTCCCGGCCTCACCTCTCCCCAGGGCCCCTCCCCTCCCTGCCTCACCTCTCCCCAGGGCCCCTCCCCTGCCGCCCGGCCTCACCTCTCCCCAGGGCCCTGCCCGCCAGGCCGCGCAGCGCTGCAGGCGGCAGGCCTGGGTGGCGGCGGGCTTCCCGGGCAGGCCCGCGCACTGGGCCTCCTCCACGGCCTCCTGGCCGCCAGCCCCGTCGGGCCAGACACAGTAGACGGAGCGGGACTGGGAGCCGCCTCCGCAGGAGGCCGAGCAGGGAGTCCAGGGCCCCGTCTTCCAGCTGGCAGGGAGAGGGCAGGAGCGTGAGGCTGGCCCGGCAGCGGGGGCCGGAGCCCAGGCCCGAGGGGGGCCGCTCTCACCCACGGGCCCATCCTCTGACCATCCGGCCCGTCAGCCGGGGCAGAGCACTCCGCACACAGGCCACTCCCCGGCCCCCTCGCCACCCCCCACCTCTGCGTGCTGGCCCCGCACCACGGACCCGGGCTGCCTCCCTCCCAGCTTCCCTGTCCTCACCCACATCTCCCTGGGGCCACAACCCTGCGGGAGCTGTGCCTGCAGGTCACCCATTCCCTCCGGGCCCGCAAGGCGCCAGCCTCTGGGGTGCAGGGAAGAGGTGCTCTGTGCACGGACACAGGCAGTGCAGCACCCTCAGGCCCTCTGCCCAACCCCTGGCCGCCCTGGGCACCTGTGTGCCAAGCCCCCGCCGGCTCAGACAGACGGGGCCTCCGGTCCCTTCCCCCGCCCCCAGCCACCAGCCTGGACGCCGGGCACTGTGCTCGCACACAGGGAGGTCAGAGACGCTGGGGCCTCGTCAGGCTCCTCCGCTGCCCCCCACAAGCAACAGCTGTGGGGAGCCCTGGGTCCCCCAACCTCTTTGCTCAACACCTCCAGCAGCCAAGGCGCCCCAATCCCTCCCGCCCAGGTGAGTGGGCCCGTCCCGGGTGGAGGGGCTGCCGGGCCTCACCGCTGGGTCCGCGGGCAGGCGTGCGGGCTGCAGGGGCGGCGGCCGGCCGGCCGGGGCTGGTGCTGGCACAGGTGGTCGGGGTAGACCTCGTTGTCGATGGTGCAGAACACGGGGCGGGTCTGGTGGCCTGCAGGGGCCCGGCCGCGGTGGGAGCTGGTGAGGCCTCCCTGGGCCAGGCACCCGCCGGGCACCTCAACCAACCTCAGGCGCCCCGGGGAAGGGCCAGGGGTCATCATCTCCCATTTACAGACAAGGAAACTGAGGCTCAGAGCTTTAGCTACGAGGGACCAATGCCCCCACCCCACCCCGACAGCTGGCCATGGGCTCCAGGCTCCACCCCTCCTGCCATGGAACCTTCTCCCAAGCCAGTGTTTCCCAGACTTTCGACATGTGTGCGCCCCTTCTACAATTTTCGTAACGCCGAGTACCCCTCGTCCTCATGAGAACGTAGAATTACGCGCAGCTAAGCACGGTGCAGTGCGTATCCCCACCAAACTCTGGTGCATCACGTACCCCCCCAAACTCTTCCCGTACCCCTGGGGTGCGCGTACCGCACTTTGGGGAACACTGCCCTAAGGGATCGGTTCTCCTAGCTCAGGTGGGGGCCCTCTGTGGAGCCCCTGTCCCCAGGGTTTCCCCCACGGTGACCCCAGAACCCGCAGATGGCTCAGTGCTGTCCACCTCCCTCCCTCCCCGCACGGGGCTGGAGCGCCAGGAGAGAAGCCGTCCGGGCCGCGGCCTCACCTCCGCCGCACTCAGCGCTGCAGTCGCTCCAGGAGCCGTGGCTCCAGCGGGAGCCGGGCCGGGGGGCGCCCAGGGGCAGGTGGTACTCGTAGCGCACGCCCGGGCTGGGCTCCTGGCTGATGAGCTGCGGGGGGGGGGGGGGGTCCTCCCTGAGGCCTGTGGCCCACGCCCCCCCTCACCTCACCCCCAGCCCTCCCGCCGGCCCAGGCGCCCCCTCCCCAGAGGCCCCTCCGCCCGCCCGCCCGCTCACCTCGATGACCAGGGGCTCGGAGGTGGGGCCGCGGGCGAGGAGCCGCTCGGGCGCCCGGTCCCCCTCGGCGCCCCGCTCGTAGTGCAGGAGGGTGCTGGCCGCGGGCAGGGCGCCCGCGGCCTCCACGGTCCAGTGCCCGTTGAGGTAGTACTCGCCCCGGACGCTCTTCACCGCTGGGCAGGGCGAACCCCCCACACCTGTCAGCTGCCGGGGCGCCAGCCACCCTGCCGGGCCCCGCCGCCCCACACCCCCGCCCCACACCCCGCCGTCCTCACCCAGCACGTTCCTGCTGGCGGCCGCCTCCTCGATGCGGATGCTGGTGGCCCCCGGGGGGACGATGAGGATCTGGTTGTAGCCTGGGGGAGCGGAGGGGGCTCGCTGGCGCCCTCAGGCCACCGAGGAGCTGGCCCGGCGGGCACCATGCCCCCGCTGCACTGAGGGGGTCAGGGCAGGGCGAGCAGGGGGCCGCAGGGCTGGGCTGCCTTGGGGGGGAGGGTCCCTAAAGAGGAAACAGCTTTGCAAAGGCCAATGGGGGGCGGGCTGGCTTGGGCACCCAGACTGGCCGGAACGGGCAGAGGGGAAGGGATGAGGGGGGACACGGAGGTGGCAGCAGGACAGGATTACACGGGACACGAGGGCAGAGGCGGGAACCATCGGGGGCCACGGGCCCCTGGGAGAGGGTTTGGCCTCACATGACCTGAGCCATGACCCCGGGCCTGTCAGGCACGACCTGAGCCCGGTCAGCGCTCCGGGCCGCGGCCGCCGTGAGCCGAGCAGCCCACGGGTGGGGAGGGCCCGGGCGGCAGACCGGGTCTCCCCCGTCTGGGGACGCCTGGGGTCCCACCTCTGCGGAGGTCACTGACGTCGAAGGTGCCGCTGACCGGGTAGCAGGCCGTGCCGTCGCCCCCGCACTGCAGGCACTTGTCCTCCTGCGCGGTCGAGTCGAGCTTGTGGTCGCAGCCCACAGCCTGCAGGCGGAGAGGGAGGAGAGTCACCCACGCACCGGGACTCGAACCCGGGCCAGGGAGGAGCGGCGATGACAGTGGACCCAGAAACGGCACAGGCTGGAGCGTGTGGGTCCGCGGATAGGTGGATCTTTTTCAATAAGCAGACTGGGAATTTTGGGGGGATTTGCAACAGCCGGAGAAGCCCCTTGGAGGAGTCACGCAGCTTAGAACTGCCTGGGAGGGCTGAGCACACGGGGGTCCGGCCTGGGGCTGCCAACCCGCCTCCTCTGCCCGCTCAGCACCCAGCTCCCCTTCTAGGCACTTCCTCTGGGGACCCTCTCTCCCGCAGAGCTTGGACAGAGCTCCCCACAGTGGGTCTGGGCAAATGGGTGGGCTGCAAGCCTCGCTCAGAGGATGGCTGAGGGGAGCCCCAAGTTAACACACATCAGAGGCAGCCCAGGTCCCTGAAACCCTTGGGAATGGAACTCCTTTCCTGGGGAGGCCTCAGGCCGGGACAGCCGAGCCTGGAGCTGGTGGGGCCGTCAGTCCCCGAACCCCAGGGAAGGCCACAGGGCCTCGGTGATGAGGGGCGTCTGAGAAGCCGGTCCAGCTCACGAGGGCCCCGGGCGCTGCGGGCAGGGAGACGGGCGGGGGCCGGACACTCACCCGGCAGACGCCATCCACACAGACGTCCGGTCGGCCAGGCTCGCAGGGCGTCCCGTCCACCACGGCCTCCCGGAGGGTGTAGTAAAAGCTCTCCCCCTTGGGGATGCAGGCCAGCTCACACTTGTTCGGGGCTGGGGAAGGCAAAGCGGGGAGCGGAGACCCCAGGGATGTTCAGGCCTCGCGAGCCTCCGCGGAGCACGGGCAGGGCCAGAAGCACACAGACGGGGGGTCGGGGGTGTTGGGGGGAACCCATGGAGCAGCCCCCCTAAGGGGCTCAGAGTCCCTCTCCCCTCCCAGGGAGAGGGATGTTCTCCACCAAACTGCTGCGTCTCTGGGGCTCGAGTCCAAGGGAATCCCAGAACAAGGAAAAAACTAGGCCCGCGAAGGGGTCTACCTCAGAATTACCTACCCTAACCCAAGTGCTAGCAATCAGAACTCTCTGGAGAATGACCTATCGGTAGGATGTTATGCACATTAACGATTTTGTTAAAAGTTATAAAAACTTGCCTGGAGGGCATGGCTTAGTGGTTAAGCATCAACCTTTGAACCAGGAGGTCATGGTTTGATTCCTGGTCAGGGTACAGCCTAGATTGCAGGCTCCAATCCCCAGTAGGGGGCGAACAGGAGGCAGCCAATCAATCAGTGGTTCTCTCTCAGCATTGATGTTTCCCTCTCTCTCTCCCTCTCTCTCTCTCTCTCTCTCTCTCTCTCTCTCCCCCTTCCTCTATGAAACCAATAAAAATAAATATATTTAAAATTTATGAAGACATGCCCTGACTGGGTGGTCAGTTGGGATACGGCCCTGTGCCCCAGTGGGTTCAATCCCCAGTCGGGGCACACACCTAGGTTGCAGGTTTGATCCCCCGTCAGGGTGCATTCGAGAAGCAACCAATCAATGTTTCTCTTACGTTGATGTTTCTCTCTTACACTCTCTCTAAAAATCAATAATAATAATAAAAAAAAACATCCTCAGGTGAGGATTTTTTTAAAAAATGTATGAGGACTCTACAGAAATGCAGGAAAATGCTTATCACAGAATGCAAAATGGTACCATGTCGTAATTACAAATATGTCGGCACAGAGAGTGATGTGAAAAGGGCCAGAATGAGATGTTAGCAGTGACCCTAGAAAAGAGGGGGGGGCGGGGTCATGTTTTCTCGTTCTCATTTTTACATCGATCGAAATGTTTTACACCCGCTACAGAGCCCCGAGCGCCGACAGGATGGTCACAACCTCCACAGCCAAGCAGGCACCCCTCTGTGGCCCTTCTAACCTTTTCTCTGTGCTTCTATAACGGGGACACATTGAAATCGTTCTCAGCACATTGCTCAGAACTCAGGGGGGCCACACCCCAAGGGCCGGGACCCTGCCGGCCGCAGGCACACTCACCCGCGTAGTAGGGCAGCCACCGGGGCCGGCGGCCCTGGAAGTCCTGGCCGTCGAACTCCCTGCACTGCTCCGCCCGGAAGTCGCGGGCACCTGGGGGGCAGCTCTGCGGGCAACGGGCCGGGAGGGGAAGGTGGGGACCCCTGGGCTCTGCCGCCCGCTGGTCCCGGGAGGCGGGGTCCGTCCCCCCAAGGCCTGCTGCTTCGGGGAGGCGGAGTCCGGGGCTCCCCTCCAGGGGGGGGCTGCTACAGGGGGAGCCGTGGAAGCTGTCCCTGGGCTGTCCCTGGGGGAGGAAGGGACCTCCCACACCCGCTGGGTCGTGACAGGGGGCACCCGGGGCCTGGATGTTGGGGGGGGGGTCTAGGCAGCTGGCCCCGCTCCCTGCGTGTGTACCTCGATGTGGCAAAGGCGGTGTCTGCGAGTGGGGCCCACGCAGCTGGAGCCCCCGTCTCTCCTGTGGACAAGAGCACCAGTAACCGACACCCAACCCTCCCGGGACTCCGGCCTCAGGGGACTCCACTGAGGGCCAGAGAGGGCAGGTCCGTGTGCGTGCGTGCGTGCGTGCGTGTGTGTGTGTGTGTGTGTGTGTGTGTGTGTGTGTGTTGGGGGTGCGCACACACACCCCCTCCGTGCTAGCACTGAGCCCTGGTTTGTATCTGGGCGGAGACAGCCCAGCCGTCCTGCAGTTCGACCACCGTGGGCCCCGCTGCCCCTGACGGTGAACGTCCAGAGGAGCCCGATGCTGCTCCTGGAGGTGAGACAGGGTATAACACCCCCCGCCCCCTGCCCCCCGGGAGGCCATTCTGCCACGTAAGGGGCACCGGGCACTTAGAACAGAACCTCACCTTCCTCCTCACACCGCTGCTCAGAAGTGACCGGAACCCACTGACAGACAAGGTGTCTCCGCCCCTCCTTTTGCGCCCGCCCCGCTCTAGCACCTATCCGGGCCCAGGCACACAGCAGGTCTTAGGTCAGCTGAAGGGCAAGACCCATACGCGACAAAGGCTGGAGGCAGAGGCACCGCGCAGGCGAGCACCACTGCCGGTGACTAACTGGCCGGGAACTTCGCTGCCCTGGGAGCCAGAGCCGGGGGGAGGGGGGGGTGAAGCAGGAGGTCCCAGAATATAGCTGATGACTGAAGTCAAGCGGAAGCACCAGGAAATGACGGAGTTCAAACACCCCATCCACGCTGCGCCCGGACAAAGCCACCGCACGGGGTGCTGCCCGGCGGCCGGGTGGCCCCTACCTCTGCCAGTGGCAGGAGCGCTCGCTGAAGCTGATGCCCCCTCCGCAGGTCCGGCTGCAGGGGCTCCAGTCACCCCAGGGGCCCCAGGCGTCGCTCTGCCGCCTCAGCTTGGGAGCCTGGGGGGGAGACAGCCCAGGAGCCGGGGTTGGCACCTGCCGGGCACCCCGGCACAGTGCCGTCAGCCAGCTTTCACCGCTGCCCCGGCTCCTTGCCGGCTCCGTGCTGGCGGCAGAGGACTGCCTCCTGGTGATGCTGCCCACCGGCCTGTGCAGAGTCTGGTTGGACAGGCATGGCGGCTGCAGACCGCCTGGCAGGGAGCCCTGGTCAGCCGACTGGGTTTTCCCAGGAGGGAGGCCTCCCAGGGCGGGGAGGACGGCGTTCGGGCAGGCGCGCCCGCTTCACCGGGGCCTGGTGTGGACAGCCACAGCACGCCTGTTCCTGCGTCTGCCCTGGGCGGTGACCTCGCTTCTGGAAGGGTCTGTGGTTCTGGCCCATTACACTACGTTCATCTAATCCTAGGAGGAGCTGGGGGAGAGGCGATCCTTCCTCCCTGCCCCGCTGGGCGGATTCCCAAGGGTCCCCCAGCAGCTGCCTTCCCCTCCTCCTGCTGGGAGAGAACCCCTGACTCTTCGCTGGGCACCAGGCTGGACCCGTCCATCCCCCAGACTCCCTGCAGCTAACGTGGCCCAGTCCGTCCTTCTCGTCGATGGATGCCGTGCTGGGCAGCAGCCCCAGGCATCTCGAGAGACAGCTTGCACGGGCCTCTGTCTTTCTTCCCTCTCTTGTCCTCCCCCTGCTGCTTGGAACGTGGTGTGACAGCAGCCTGCTGCTCCGTGAGGGGACTCCGGAGCAGAGGCTTCCGCCAGGAAGCCAGGACCGAAGGGTCTCCGCGGTCTGGCTCCAGGGGCTCCGGTCCCCCCAGGTGAGGGAGGCCCCACAAACCGGGGCTCCTGACCCCTGGGTAGTCAGTGGAGGAGGGATCGCCTCTCTCTCGTTGAAGGGCTGCCAATTGCGACTCCGAAACAAGAATCTATCCTCACAGACAGTTTCCCACCAGGAAGACCTGACCCCCTGCAACTTCGACCAGACGTCCACCTGCTACTCACGTGTCCTCTCATGTCCCCCTCAGAGCAGCCTGACGTCCGGGCACAGGCTGCTGCTCAGTGTTTCTGAGGGAGAAGGAACCTGGCAGGGCCGGGCACTCTGTGAACCTTGGCTGATTTCACTGCACAGCCAGCCGGGGTGGGAGAGGGGCAGTATTCCCGCAGGGCATGGGTGAGGGAGCCACGCATCAACAAGTGGACGCAACAGCAGGCCAGCTTCGCCCGGGCCTCTGTCCCCCCTCCTCACCGGGGGAGCCCAGAGAGACCGCTGAGCCCTCAGGAGCTGGGCAGGTGTGGGCTGTCCACTGCTTGCCGGGAGGCAGAGGTGTCTGTCCTCTTTGCTGGAAGGGACTTATTTTAGAGCATCACCATCTACGAATCTCTGGGGGGCAGGAGGCAGAGACCGCACAGGCGAGCACCACTGACGATTATTAACTGGCCGGGAACTCACTCCCAATTTCCAGAGAAAGCACTCAAGGCCTAATGTGGGCCCCCAGCTGTGGGCCCCCAGCAACCTCACAGGGTCTCAGGCGAGCTCACACCCCACAGTCACCCACAGCTCAGCTCCAGCACCCCTGGCGCCAAACCCCTCACGAGCCTGGCTTTACGATAGAACCATCGCCCCGAGTCACCACAAACCACACGGATGGGCTGAATGACACACCGAGCCAAGAGGAAGGGCCAGCCAGCCAAAGGCCTTAGCTTTCACTCTTCAAGTTATTTATCCTCCGCTTCCAGCTGGGACAGAATGGCCAGCTTCTGAAAACCAGTGAACCAGAATAGCAAGGTGTGTTCCCTCAGGGAAAGTTAAACTGGAATCCGCTTGATCGGGTTTCTATCTTAAAGGGGAAGAGGTTGCGTCTAGAGCAGCGGTCGGCAAACTCATTAGTCAGCAGAGCCAAATAGCAACACATTTCTTCCTTGAGGGCCAAATTTTTTAAACGTAAGCTTCTTCTAACGCCACTTCTTCGCCCAGACCGTGGTGTTTTGTGGAAGAGCCACACTCAAGGGGCCAAAGAGCCTCATGTGGCTCACGAGCCACGGTTTGCTGACCACAGGGATAGAGGGTGGGAGGCGACTTTCCAGGGGCAACCAGCGCGCATGTGTGCACACACACACACACACACACACACACACACACACGTAGTCTAAGCTGCGGCCACAGGGTCTGCTGCTTCCTCCTGCTGCCGGCCTGGGCCTGGTGACTGATCACCCGCTGACCGAGGCCTGTCTGCAGGGAGTCCCGCCCCTGGAGCACAGCCCCTAAGCCTCCCAGCCCACCTCCCTGGGGCAGGGCTGGGCTTGCTGTGAGGACAAGAGGCACCTCTGCCACAGCCACCCAGTGGAGCCGAGGACGGGGTGGGGGGAGGACTGGCTGACACGGGGCCTTCTAAGCACCCAGCCTTCCCAGCACCCCCTGGCCTCACCCTCCCGCACCCGTGAGAAGGGCGTCCACTGGCCTGGGGCCACCCGCAGGCGGGACTGGGGGAGCCCAGGCTGCCAGCTCCGGGCCGCGCCCTGCCCACTGCTCCACACGGTCTCCCAAGGGAGAGCGCCCAGTGCGTTTATTTCCCTGTAATTACCCGAACCACCGGCTGAGCTGACTTGGGAGGCCAGAATGAGCTGGTCCCGCCGCCCTCACCTGCCTGTCCTCACCTGCCTCCTGCTGCTCTCAGCACCCCACCCCCTCCTCCTGCAACTCCCACCTGGGCAAGGAGCCCCTTTCCCAGGGGGACCCGCTGCCCCAGGGAGCAGGTGGGAGGGTCTGAGAGAGGAGGGTGTGGGTGGGAGTCAGGGGGCTGGAAAGGCATGGCCTCAGGAAGCCCCCTCACGAGGCATGGCAAGCAGAGCCACTGTGCTTCATCCCTTCTTACTCCTCTGCTCACTGAGCCAGCTGACCCGAGAACGGCCGGGGGGGGGGCCTGTGGTGGACCCGGCCCAGCCAGAACCAGAACCAGAACCAGAATCAGGGGCCGCAGAGCAGTGAGCCTGGCCCACACCCTCCCCAGACGGTCACCCACACGGAGCAGCTCGGAGAAGGCTCTCCGTGCTCCTAAGGGAGGGAGCACTGAGGCCCCGGAACCTCGGCTCCTCCCATCTGCACGCAGCCTGCGGGCGGACATGCTCAGCCACACTGGGGGATCTTGCTGCTGATTTGGCTGCTGCTCGCAGTTAGGGTGCCTCTGGCTTCCCCCCTGGGGCTTTGAGGCTGGTGCTGGGATCCCCTCCACTGAGCTTCCTGCACCGGCACCAGGAGGAAGCCGGCCGAGGACCGGACGTGGAGCAAGGCCCACGCAGAGGACCGTGGGGGCCTGGCAGGTGGAGAGAGGACACGGGGAAGGAAGGCTCTGGCCCACCACGCTCGGAAGCGGGGGCTGGATAGGTGGGGGGCATGCTGCCTGCCCTCCGGGCCCTCTCACCTCGGCTCACACTTCGCCAGGCAGCACTCCCAGCCCTTCCCCTCCCGCCTGCCTCTCTGAGGAGGGGCAGGAGGGGGCCTGGCTGGCCCTGTGCCTTCCGCCAGGCCGAGCCAGGAGAACGTGGCAGCACCACGCCCAGCTCTGCAGACCCTCCCTCCCTGATCGCAGCGCCCTCAGCAAGAAGAGGCCCCTATCTCAGGATCCACGTGTGTTCTCCAGGGAGCCCTGTCCTCTGGGCTCCCGTTAAAGAGCCGGCTCTCCACACCTGCACCAGTGAGGTGGCCACGAGCACCCTGTGGCTATTCAAAGTCATTAAAAATCAAATTTAAAAACTCAGGTCCTCAGTTGCACCAGCCACTGTTCCTGAGTTCAACAGCCAGGTGGACACGGCGGCTCTGCGATTGGAAAGCACAGGTGGAAACATTTCCAGCATCGCGGGAAGCTCTAGCGCAGCCCTGCTCCGGAGCTCAACCCCACAGGGCGGGGTGGCTGGCACCCCCGGCCCCTGGGCCCGCATGGCTCAGTGGGTACGGTCTCTGGCACCCGGTGGAGGGCCCACCTGGCTCTGCACCTTCGCGGTGCCGGCGAGGCCCCCTCCTTCCACCTGGGAGACCACCCCGTCTGCACCCAGCTCCTCGGAGGGGGGAGGCCGAGGGGCTGCCATTCCTGCAACTGCCAACGGCAGCCCCGGCCCGGGGAGCGGCTCTGGGCGCCGGGTCAGCCGGGCCTCCCTCTTTTCCAAGGAGCTCGGGCTGAGGACTCGCCTCCTCCCACCCCGTCTTCCCCCAGGCCCTCTCCTGGGGTTGTCGCCCCGCGGGGGGAGGGGAGCGGGGACGGGAGGGGCCCCCGTTGGGGACCCCAGCAGGGCCGCCGGGCGCACTCACCGGGGCCCCGGGCGCCGGGGCCAGCAGCAGGGCCAGGAGCGGGAGCAGCGGCATCTCGGCTGCGGAGCGGCTGGCGCGGGCGGGCGGAGCAGGCGCGGCCTCGGCGGCGGGTGAGGGCGGGCGGGGCTCGAACTCCTGCCCCTCCGCACAGGTGGCCGGAGCGGGAGGACCTGCGGGGCGTGCAGGGCACGGCCGGTCTACACTGAGGCGAGCAGACGGCGGGACAGTCCCGATTTTTAACAATCTGGCCCGCGTCCCGCGGCGTTTTTAAAAAATCGGGGACAGATTGTTAAAAATCGGGGCTGTCCCGCCAAAAGCGGGACGTCTGCTCGCCTTAGTGTACACCCGCTTCCCAGCGTGCGAGGGGAACGCCGCTGGGGCGTCGGAGGGAAAGAGGGCGACAAGAATACTTCCTTGTTGGAAGCTCCGGTTCAGAGCCATCAGATTCCCTCTTTTCACTCGGCCAGGGCTGCCCTTTTAAAAAGCCATTCCCCGCGTTGTTTACAAACTCACTGGTAGAGGGTTTTACAAAGGCTCTTTGGGCATTTTAAACTTAAACGTAAATGCTTTTAAAATGTTAATTGTATCTTACTGCAAACCCAGGCCAGTACTGCTTCTCTGTACTGAGCAAGCTCCCTTGCCGGTCCCTTAAGCGGTCATTGTGTGCACGTGTGCAATATGGTGTGTGTGCGTGCAGAGTGCCTTGTGTGTTTGTCTGGTGTGTGTGTGCATGTGATGTGTGCAGGTGTAGTGGGGTGTGTGTGTGTGTGTGTGTGTGCAGAGTGCCTTGTGGGTTTGTTTGGTGTGTGTGTGCATGTGATGTGTGCAGGTGCAGTGGGGTGTGTGTGCAGAGTGCCTTGTGGGTTTGTCTGGTGTGTGTGTGCATGTGATGTGTGCAAGTGCAGTAGGGTGTGTGTGTGTGTGTGTGTGTGTGTGCAGAGTGCCTTGTTGGTTTGTTTGGTGTGTGTGCATGTGATGTGTGCAGGTACAGTGGGGTGTGTGGGGGGGGGCGTGTGCACGGGCAGTGCGGTGTGTGCACTGTGCGTTTATGTGTGTACATGTCACTGTGCAGGAGAGTGAAAAAAGCAATGTGTGCCGAGACCGGTTTGGCTCAATGGATAGAGCGTCGGCTTGGGGACTGAAAGGTCCCGGGTTCGATTCCGGTCAAGGGCATGTACCTTGGTTGCGGGCACATCCCCAGTAGGGGGTGTGCAAGAGGCAGCTGATTGATGACTCTCTCTCATCGATGTTTCTAGCTCTCTATCTCTCTCCCTTCCTCTCTGTACAAAATCAATAAAATATATATTTAAAAAAAAAGAAAGAAATAAGCAATGTGTCCTCCCGTTCAGTGCAAAGCATCAAACGGGTGCTGACTTGTATGCTTAAAGTTTAAGGTGTGTAACTGAACCATGTTCTTTCGGTTTTAAGTACAAAGTGACTCCGGTTTGCAAGGCTACAGCAGCAAACATAAGCCAATGTCAGCGGAAGTGAACCTGGTCCATGTAACGACCTGCGTGTCCCGTTAATTTAGCACCAACAGCGATTCCTGGTCCTTCTTCTCACAGTCAGGCCAGGCTCCCGGGCTCGTGGGGGCGGGAGGGGGGGCGGCGGGCGACCTCCCTGCCCCGCACACCCCGTTCCTCTCTCCCCGCCACCCCCCAGCCCCCCGGAACCACTGCCCCGGGAGGGGAGGAGGCGGTGGGAGCCTGGCTCCGGCCTTAGGGCGGGGAGAGCCAGCGGAGGGAGAGACTGAGGAAAGGACCGGAGGGAAGAATTTCCTCGTCACTGTTACTAGGGGCGCCGCGGTGCCGCACCCCGCACCGTCACCCTCCGCCGCCGCCGCCCCAGGAGGTGCCCCGCGGGGAGCCCCACTCCTGGGCCCGCCGGGTGCAGCCCCCAAAGGCGCGCACGTCCGTGGGCAGAGCCGGGCGGGCTCCTCGGGGCTCCACTTCCCCGCACCCCGCGGGCCGGCGGGCAGTGCCGGCGGGGCCCCGGGGCCGGCCCCACGCCCCCTCCGGCCTCCTCCCGGCCCCGGGCGCAGGGCGCGGGCCGCTCCACCGGACCGCCCAGCCCCAGCGCGGCCTGGCCGCGCAGAACGCACTCGCACGCGGAGGTCGGGCTTGCTCTCCCCGGGCTGGCTGGTTTCCTCCCCACCCCATTCTCCACCCCAATCCCCATCTCACACACACCCCCTCCCCCGTGCTGACACCGGTCCCCGCCCGGGGGTGAGAGCACGCCCCCGCGGAGAGGCCGCCGCAGCCATGCGCTGGGGTCTGAGCCACGCCATCCCCTCTGAGCCCGCGCCTTCCAGCTCCCTGCGCCGCCCTCCACCCTCACCGAGCAGCAGCCCTGCTCCGTGTGCAGCCCCTGCTCGTCCTCTCTCTCTCCCGGATTCTGTGCTCGGTCCGCGGCCGAGGGCCCCACGGACATGCCGCTGTTCCCCCACCAGCTGGCGTTTCCCGGCCCAGAATGCACCCTGGGAACCCGCTGCCATGCAAACTCCTTCCTACTCACCCCTCAAGACCCTGGCCAAAGGTCAACTTCTCTGCGACCCTCCCCCTCACCGCAGCAGGCGGGCCCTGTCCCCTCAGTCCCTGTCCGCTGTGCGGACCTGGGCGCCTCTCCCCGCGGGAACCTGAGTCTCCCTGACTCAGCGGGAGGTCCCTCGGGGTGAAGCTTGCACCCCTATCACCGGGGCCCAGGGCACTGGTTGGGATCAAAGTAGGGGCACAATACGTGTGATTCATTTAATTTCCTTTCCTAGTTCTCCTTCTCAGCCAAGGCTTTCTGCCTGCCGTTGCAGCTGGAAATCACACCCTTTCCCCTCCTCCCCCAGACAGCGCTGGCCCAGGGGCACGTAGGCAGCGGGAGGGCCCTTAACCTCCTCTCCTGCCTTCTGCCGGCTGCCTACCCCAGCCATCAGCCCTTTCTCTCCCGGCCTCCTTCGCAGCAGAGAAAAGTCCCCCCCGTGGGGAGCTCACCCCCTCAGGCCCCCAGCTCCGCAGGCCACGTCCCCAGGCGGTGAGGAATGCTCAGACGAAATGCTTTCCTTAAACAGCATTCTGAGAGGGACCCATCTCTTACCTACCAGAGAGAGGAGGGGCACAGGGGTGTGGGTTCTCAGCAGAGACAGGAGAAAAGGGAGTGGAATTACCCAGAGTCTCTCTAGGAAAGGAAAAGAGCTTCTTCCGTGCACCAAGCTCCGCTCCCTGCCCCCGTCAGCCCGGGATTCTCTGAGCTGGGCCAAAGGTCCCTGTCAAGTGGGAGGAAGCCGTGGGGGTGGGCAGCCAGGCGTCTTCCCATCTGTTTCTGTTTTTCCTCTGTGATCCCTCCTTCTGAGATACTCAGGCCCGCCCAGCCATAAAGAAGACCCGGAATTTGGGGAGCAGAACCCGCACACAGTGTTGGGGGCAGCTCTGCACCCACCAGCTGGGCGACTGGCTTGAGCAAGGGCTTGTCTTCAAACCTCAGATTCTGCTGAAGCCGGTTTGGCTCAGTGGGTAGAGCGTCGGCCTGAGGACTGAAGGGTCCCAGGTTCGATTCCGGTCAAGAGCATGTACCTTGGTTGCGGGCACATCCCCAATAGGGGGTGTGTAAGAGGCAGCTGATCGATGATTCTCTCTCATCAATGTTTCTAACTCTCTATCCTTCTCTCTTCCTCTCTGTGAAAAAGTAATAAAATATATTTTTTTAAAAACAAACAAAAAAACCCTCAGATTCTGCTACCTCAGGAGGATGTGAGCACAAACCTAGCAAATAGCTGTTATGCACCAAAAAATGGTGTACATAATTGGTGTGCACACACACACACACAAAGAAAAACTGGTGTAGAAAAAACACCCCAAGAAAAAGTGTAAGACCATCCCTCCAGGTGTAACTTCCCCTCTGCACTGACCCTAAGCCACTCACTAGCTGCACCTGCCTCCCTTCCCCTTGGGAGGTAGGGGGAGCCTGGAGGAGGAGCAGAGGAGGAGCTGGAGGAGGAAGGCAGAAGGACGGCCTGGAAAGCAGGCAGGCCTGGAACCTGCTCTGCTTCTCATTGTGTGTGACCTCAGCCTGGAGCTTCAACAGAGGGTGACAACGTCACTGGCTCTGTGAAGTTCCTACTAAGTGTCAGTAAACGTTAGTTCCTCTATCGGACCAGTGGTCGGCACACCGCGGCTCGAGAGCCACACGCGGCTCTTTGGCCCCTTGAGTGTGGCTCTTCCACAAAATACTACAGCCTGGGGGAGTCTATTTTGAAGAAGTGGTGCTAGAAGTTTAACAAAATGTGGCTCTCAAAAGAAATTTCAATCGCTGTACTGTTGATATTTGGCTCTGTTGACAAATGAGTTTGCCAACCGCTCATGCACTATCCCATGCTCCCCCGCCTGTATCCTGAATTCCCTGCCCCCTGACCAGCTCTGCGGATGGCAGGTCCAGGCCACGGCCGGGAAGTGGCCGGATCTCTGAAGGTTGGGTTCGGATGGAAAGCTGCAGAGAAGGGGGAAAGGGCAAAGACCCAAGAGCCTCCGGGCTCCCAGTAGGCACCTCCTCCAGGACGCCTTCCCTCTGTGCCCTTGAGAGCTGCTACAGTGATTCACTTGTCGCTCTTTCTCCCTCTGATTGTGACCTTCGAAAGGACAGGGATCTGTCTCCTCCATCACTGCATCCTGGACCAGAGGTTTATGGTGCTCCTGAGGGTATCTCTCTAGAACAGTGTTTCCCAGCGTGTGGTACGCGTACCCCCAGGGGCACGGGAAGAGTTTGGTGGGGGTACACGTTGCACCGGAGTTTGGTGGGGCTATGCACTGCACCGTGCTTCGCTGCGCCTAATTCTACGTTCTCATGAGTACGAGGGGTACTCAGTGTTACGAAAATTATAGAAGGGGTACACATATGTCAAAAGTTTGGGAAACTGCTCTAGAGAGCAAGTTGTGGGAAGCATGGCTGATTGACAGCCTCCAGCAGCCACACCCCAGGTCTGTGTCCTGAAAGCTCTCCCTGCTCCTCCCTTTATGTTCCCTCGCACTTCCCCCCATAGATCTCTGCACAGCCCACCTGATCTAACGCAG